GTCAAATTTGTTCCAAGTTTACTATCTAAGGAAAACCAGTTGATTGCATCGACTCATTGACTTGAATGCAACCCCTCACACTAAGCATGCATGTAGCCAGTGTTGGGAAAGTTCTCTTTCTACGTGAACTAGTTCAAAGTTCAGTTCAAACATTTAAAATGAACTAGTTCAGTTCATAGTTCATAATTCAAAATTTTGAACTAAGTTCACAGTTCCAAAAAATGAACTAGTTCATAGTTCTTTTTTTTTTTCATATATTGCTCAATTACACCATAGCCTAATGTAGAACCACAGACGACAATTATTTTAGCAGTTGTAACACTGAAACTGTGCGTCAGATTTGATCTTCATATCCAGTTTTGAATCCTTATCCAACCAGGGTTTACATTAGTATTGAGGGGACAGCATTTCCCCATTGTTGCTTTAATGCTTTGTTGCTGTCCATTCACTTCACACTAGTAGCAGCTGCAGCTTTCACCCCTACAGTATATTCTCAAAAACATCAGGAAAAATGTGCTGCTTGAATGGTCTTTTTTATGAGGAATTATTAAACGAAAAACAGGAAAGTAGTCTTTAAGGTGCAAATGTTTTTTTTTTATTATTATTATTTTTCCATTTGAAATTCCATTTCAGTACATACTAAAAAGGAATACTGGAAAATTATACCAGGCAGATTTAAGTGCGGATTTTTTTACTGAAAGCCGGCGGGCAAAGTTTGCAGAGAAATGTAAGATTGTTGCCATCATCCTCACCGACCACCTGGTCATAAACCTCTTTTAAGTGATCATACTGCTGCTTTGTCGCCTCCACGGTCGTCTCCATGCTGCTGTGGCTTCCACGCTGCATTTTGTTTCGATGACGCACGCGGCTGTAGGCTACGACACTGGTAGCTGGTGTTGCCAGATTGGGTGTTTTCCCCGCTACATATTAAGGCCTGTTTACGGTGTGATTTAGCCGGGGTTTCGCCTGGAGGATTTTATAGAAATCTGGCAACCTATTGAACGGAGTTGAACTGAGAGAGCGTGCCGTTCACAGACACCAGAATGAACGAGTTCACAATAACGTTCATCAGGCAGTAATACAGTACGTTCAGTATGTTCGCGCAAAATATGAACGAGTTCATGAACTTTCGTTCAATGAATGCGTTCAGGCACAACACTGCATGTAGCGACAGTGGAGAGGAAAAACTCCCTTTTAACAGGAAGAAACCTCCAGCAGAACCAGGCTCAGTGTGAGCGACTATCTGCTGAGGCCGACTGAAACAGAAGCAGACATAATTTACACTTTGTTTATACTTCTACTTCATTAATAAACGTTAACACTTTTGAAACCTACTAACAGGCAGCCTCTGTGAACCTATGAGTGAAGCTCCAAATGAAAATGGACTTTATTTCCCAACAAAGCGGTAAGTCCAAGCAAACCTCAAATAAACAAAGGTACACGTTCATAAGAGGAGTGTTAGAGGATGGGGATGACTGAGTTAGGAACTAAAAGTCTAACAGAAAATCTATGCAACTGACTCGGGGCTAAAAGCTGAGTTTAAATCAGAGGAAAAAATTTTGTTTAAGGGTGGAATAAACAAACTTCTACATGTGGGTCACTGCAGCTTATAGATCTTCGTTTTAACAGATTTGTTTACTTTTTATGAATTTTATAGGATTTATGTGACATAATGTGAAAGAGCTTTTAAAAGATTTGTGAAAGTCTCATGCTTTCATATCAATGATCATTTCAGGGTTTTAGAGAATTCTGCTCGGTATCAAACTGGCTCCTTGTTCCGTACTGACCTGCCCGTCTGTCTGCCCAGCGTCTCACTCAGCTTCTGGATCTCTCTCTCGGTTTGGGCCACCCGTTCTGCAGCCTGGAAGAGCCTCACATTCAGACTCTTCTTGGCACTCTTGCCCGCTCTGTAAGCCTCCACGCCGGTCGCTCCTGACGGCACAGTGGAGCCCCCCTCAGCAGGATTGGAGCCCTTGTCTCCCAGCTTGTGATTTAAAAAGTCAAAGACTGTACGCCGCCCTGCGGTGGAGACTTTAGGTTTTCTGCGGCGCTTTGGCCGGGCAGTCTGTGTGCCATCTTTAGCAGTGCTGCTTCGGGTGCGCCTCTGTGTCATCTCTGCACACTCGTCCAGAGACTTCCCCTTCGGCAGGAGCAAGGCCATCACTGGTTCCACTCGACCCTCCTGCATCTTCCCAAGACCTTAAGAGACGAACAAATCTCTGAAGAAAACATCTCATTCAACTCTAAGCTCAAATGTTAATGATTTAGTTGTTTTTTTTTTATCAATGTATTATATAGGTTTATATTGGAGTACATTTATTCAGAAAAGAAAAAAACACTGGCACATCAATGCATGAACAAACAATCCCTTTAAAATATGCTGTTTTTTATCGTTTACTATATTAAAGTGGTTTGGTCTTAGAAACCTCCTGTTTTTAATCAGTTTGTTTCCATATGTGATAGACAACCAAAGCTCCATTAGTTTGAAATTTTTTGAAAAACATTTAATAAACTCATTTCAGAAGGTGAAATTCATATGTTTTATATGTTCACTTCCTGTTTGGATTAACTGAGTGTGCAGCTGTTCAGAGGATCTCCATCTGAAGTTAAGTTATTTTCTCTGTGATATCTCTGTATCTAAGTAACTCTAACTGACTACTTTAAAACATAGCACCTTCTGCTGCACTTTTCTACTGAGCACTTGTCAGTTTCACACGGTTTTATTTCTGATAGCAAGGAGTAGCTAGCCTAGGCTAGCGCTAGATTAGCATTGCTATGGCTTCTCTCTCTCCCTCCCTTGACTCTTTTCCAACTCTTCCTTCTTCCTCTCCTCTCTCCTGCTCTCTGTGTCAGATGTTCAGTTATTCCTCTGCCTCCTTTAGTGATAATGGGATGTGTAATAAGTATAGTATTTTTGTAGCTTTGGAGGCGAGGGTGTCAGAGTTAGAATCCAGGCTTCAGGCTGTTGAACATCCAGGAGTTAAAGTAGGCCCCCCACATAGCTGTCCTCCAAAAGTGCCTGAGCAGCCAGGCGATTGGGTAACTGTATGCAGAAAGCGTAGTCGTGGATCTCTGCCCACTGGTCACCACCAACCCGTTCACGTTTCTAACCGGTTTTCCCCACTCAGTGACACACCCACTGAGAAGCCCACTCTGGTGATTGGCAGCTCCATAGTCAGAAACGTGGCATTAGAGACACCAGGGACCATAGTCAAATGTTTGCCGGGGGCCAGAACGGGCGACATCAAATCCTACCTGAAACTACTGGCTAAGGATAAGGTTAAATACAGTAAGATTGTTATTCACGCTGGTGGTAATGACACCCGGTTACGCCGATCGGAGGTCACTAAAATTAGTGTTGCTTCGGTGTGTAAGTTTGCCAAAAAAATGTCGGACTCCGTAATTTTCTCTGGTCCCCTCCCTGATCTGACCAGTGATGACATGTTTAGCCGCATGTCGTCATTCAACCGCTGGTTGTCTAGGTGGTGTCCTGAAAACAACGTGGGCTACATTAATAATTGGCAATCCTTTTGGGGAAAGCCTGGTCTGATTCGGAGAGACGGCATCCATCCCACTTTGGATGGTGCAGCTCTTCTTTCTAGGAATCTGGCCACATTTATTAGTCCTCCAAAACCCTGACCACCCAGGGTGCAGCCCAGGAAGCAATTGTTAAGTTTAACACACATCCGGGCAGCTTCTCTACGTTACCCCCTTTTACTAAAAAAAAAAAATGTCCCTTCCAACGGCGAGACCAAAATCTAATAAATTAGCAAAGTTTCCCCCAAAGGAGTAAATCATGAAAAACTAATTAAAATCAAAATAATTTCCCAATTTGGGGGAAAAATTTAAAAAACAATTAAATGCGGTCTTTTTTAACATAAGATCGCTTTCCTTAAAATCAACTATTTTAATAAATTTTGATTTGTGATAATCACATTGACTTGGTTTTTTCCCTTTCAGAAACCTGGGGTGCAAGGGAAGAATTATGTGAGCAAAAAAAGAGGGGAACTCCTTCAAGCCTTTTTTAAAATTTTTACATCCCCCCGAAGTTCTGGGCGAGGAGGAGGAGTAGCAACAATCCCTTTCCCGTCTGACTTTCTGATTAACCCCCCAAAACAATTAAAACACAACTCTTTTTAACATTTTAAACCCCTTTAAATTTCCCTGAGCCAAAAAATTTTAAAGGGGGAAAAAAACCACTTCCTTTTGTAACTTTGTAACGTCCAAACCCGGTTTCCTTTTCCTTTTTGAATTTTTAGATGAGGTTTTTTAGGTTTTCCCTTTTTGATTTGGGATTTAAAAACGACAGGGGGATCAAAAAGTGGAGATTTTTTAAAAATCCATGCTGACAATTGAAGGCCCATAGCTTTAAAAAAGCACCTTTTAATGCTATCTTAGACCCCTATTTGGCTTTGTTCAAAAATGTGAAAAACCCCACGCATTCTTTATCTTCCCTTTCTTGGGATCTTGTGCTGACCTACGGCCCTAGAATGTGAAGAAATAACAGATTTCCTCACAACCCCTGTCCCCCCTCTGACCACTTTCCAAAACCTTCAGGATTTTCTTTTAAAAAGATTTCTTTCCCCCCCCAAAAGAAAAGGGTTTAATTTTTAGTAGATCCCTTTTTTCAGATAGTGCAGTTATAAATTTTAAAAAATTTTGCTTCACTTTCACTCTCCTCCCCCTTGTTTACTGAGGGAGTGCCCGCAGGTGCAAAAAATTAGCTTTTTTCCCCCTTCACAGTTTTATAAATTTTTTTTGATGGGGTTGGGGAAATTTCCTTTCGTATTTTCCCTTTGAACCCAAAGCAGCTTTCCCTTTTAAAATGAAAACCTTAAAAATAGAAAAAGGGTTTCTCCTTGGTTTAATGCAGACTGCCGGGACTTTTTAAGCAAAAAGGGTAGGAAAATGGGGAGAAAAAATCGCTCCCCCCAGGGGCCTTTCCCAAGTCCCTTTCCTTTGGCCCGGGAAAAAAGGTTTTCTGCCGGGATAAGGGCTCTTTGTAAAGCAAGAGCACATAAATTCTCCTTCCCAAATTTAAAAATAAAAGGAGAAAAAAAATAATCCTAAATTTCTTTTTAAAAAACCCGTTGGGCCAAAAATCACCCCGACCATAGCTCTGGGTTTAAAACCCCCATGTCCACCTTTCTCTTAGCAAACAATGATTTTATGGGGTTTTTTTTAAAAAAAGATCATAACACTCCTCTAAACCCAAAAGGACCTGAGGTAGTCATGGGAAAACTTGGGAACCGGGTTTAGACTGCTTTGGGTCCAGGGGGGGGGGGGGTTGGGGGGCCCGGGGAATTTAAACAAAATTTAAAATTGTCTTCACTAAGCCCCCCAAACTTGGTTTTTAGATTTTCCCTTTCCCAAACCGGTTTTTTAAGGAGGTATTCCCCCTTTTATCTCCTTCCCCCCATTTTTGATGTGATTAATCTATCTCTGTTACAAGGGGAAAGGGACCAAAGGGTTTTAAAAGGGTTGGGTGTAAAAACCTCTGCTTTAAAAAAAAACCGGGGGGGGGGGGGCCTTTAACCCCCGAAGACTTGGGCAATTATTTGGGCCCATATCCAATCTTTCCTTTTTTTTAACCCCAAAAATTTTTGAGAAAGTTTGGTTTTCCAAACAAGTTTTTCGATCACTTTCCCCAAATAATTTAACTTTTTTTAAAGTTTTTAGTCTGGTTTAGAGCACATCATAGCAAATGAAACAGCTTCCCGGGGAAAGTCACTAATTTAAAATTCTCATGGGCCCCAATAATGGACTTGTATCTGTGCCGTCCTTTTTGGATTTTTAGTGCTTTCATTTTTATTTCAGTTTTACCAAATATTCTTTTAGAAAGACTTGAATTTTTTTGGGTTTTAATTAAAAAAGGAACCCAAAAAATTTGACTGGTTTTTAAAACTTAACTATCTGATCGAATTTTAGTTTTTTCATGTTAAAGAAAAAATCCCTTTAACAACCGGGTCCAAAATTTTCCTGTGGAGTACCACAGGGATCAGTGCTAAGGGGCCCAAATTCTCTTTACCTTTTTTACAAGGCCCCCCAATTGGGGGGAAAAAAATTTTTAGACGCAAGGGATTAATTTCCACGTTACCCTGATGGGTACCCCGCTTTTATCTGTCTATAAATCCAAAGAAGCTAACCCATTACATAGATTACAGGCATGTCTTGAAGACATAAAAACCTGGATGACTCTTAACTTTCTGCTCCTGAATGCAGACAAAACAGAAGTTATAGTCTTTGGACCAGAGTCTCTGAAAAAGAAACTGATTAGCCAGTCACTTCATTTGGATGGGATTAAACTGATTTCAGATAATAAAGTAAAAAATCTTGGTGTTATTTTTGATCAGGACCTGTCATTTAAATCCCACATCAAAGAGGTTTCTAGAATTTCCTTCTTTCATCTGAAGAACATTACAAAAATTAGAAATATCCTGTCCAGGGGTGATGCTGAGAAACTAGTCCATGCATTTGTTACTTCAAGGCTGGACTATTGTAATTCTTTACTATCAGGAAGTCCACAAACTGTAGTTAAAAGCCTTCAGCTGATCCAAAATGCTGCAGCCAGAGTTCTAATGAAAATTAAAAAGAGAGATCATATCTCGCCTATCCTGGCTTCTCTTCATTGGCTTCCTGTTAAATCAAGAATAGAATTTAAAATCCTCCTTCTAACATGTAAAGCCTTAAATGGCCAATCTCCATCTTATATCAAAGATCTGATTTTTCCTTATGTTTCTAACAGAGCACTTTGATCTAAATCTGCAGGTTTACTAGTGGTTCCTAGAATTTCTAAAAGTAGAATGGGAGGCAGATCTTTTAGTTATCAGGCTCCTCTCCTGTGGAACCAACTACCAGTTTTAGTCGTGATGCAGACACCCTGTCTACCTTTAAGGCTAGGCTTAAAACTTTCCTTTTTGATAAAGCTTATAGTTAGAGTGGCTCAGGTTGTCCTGAGCTATCTCTATAGTTATGCTGCTATAGGTTTAGACTGCTGGAGGACATAGGGGACTCCTTTTTCATCATTCTGCTTCATTCTATCTCTATTCTCCCACTCTGCAGAATGTCTTAGTTCAATCTCTAACGTTCTGCTCTCTCTGAATTTTCTCATAGTAGCTTAATCTGGTCTGTTCATGTTTGGCTGTGACACCATCCTGGAGAGAAATATTGGCTGTGCAGCTGCCATCAACAATTTTGTTTATAGATGTTTGAGATCAGCCTGTTTTCCAGTGTGGTCCTGTTTCTTTGACTGTGACTGGCTGGATGTGCTCTCTTCATCCTCTAACATGGGAGCTGGCTCGGAGCTCGTCTGCCTGGCTGTGTGTTTCCTGGACGGGGCCGCCTTTTACAGTTGCTTTTTGTATCTCTGCCTCTGTCTCCTTAAACCCCAGTCGGCCTCGGCAGATGGCCGCTCACACTGAGCCTGGCTCTGCTGGAGGTTTCTTCCTGTTAAAAGGGAGTTTTTCCTCTCCACTTTCGCTACAAGCATGCTAAGTGTGAGCAATTGCATTAGAGTTAATGACTTGATGCAATCAACTGGTTTTCCTTAGATAGAAAACTTTGAATCAATTTGACTGTATTATCTGATGAACTGTAAAGTGTTATAAATTTGCGCTATATAAATAAACTGAATTGAATTGAATAAAAAGAGTAACTTCTTCCTTTAAAATCCTCCTTCTCACATATAAAGCCTTAAATGGCCAAGCTCCATCTTATATCAGAGATCTGATTGTTCCTTATGTTCCTAACAGAGCACTTCGCTCTCAATCTGCAGGTTTACTAATGGTTCCTAGAATTTCTAAAAGTAGAATGGGAGGCAGATCTTTTAGTTATCAGGCTCCTCTCCTGTGGAACCAACTACCAGTTTTAGTCCGTGAGGCAGACACCCTGTCTACTTTTAAGGCTAGGCTTAAAACTTTCCTTTTTGATAAAGCTTATAGTTAGGGTGGCTCAGGTTATCCTGAGCTATCTCTATAGTTATGCTGCTATAGGCTTAGACTTTTGGAGGACATAGGGACCCCCATTTCATCATTCTGCTTCATTCTCTCTCTGTTCTCCTATTCTGCAGAATCTCTTAGTTCAATCTCTAACCTTCTGCTCTCTCTGCTTTTCCTCAGAGTAGCTTTGCCTCGTCTGTTCCTGTTTGGCTGTGACATCATCCTGGAAAGAAACATCAGCTGTGCTGCTTCTATCAACACCCTTGTTTATAGATGTTGGAGATCTGCCTGTTTTCCAGTGTGGTCCTGTTTCTCTGACATTGACTGAGTGGATGTGCTCTCTTCGTCCTCTGGCATGGGAGCTGCCTTGGAGCTCATCTGCCTGGCTGCGTGTTTCCTGGACGGGGCCGCCTTTTACAGCTGCTTTTTGTATCTCTGCTTCTGTCTCCTTGAACCCCAGTCGGCCTCGGCAGATGGCCGCTCACACTGAGCCTGGTTCTGCTGGAGGTTTCTTCCTGTTAAAAGGGAGTTTTTCCTCTCCACTGTCGCTACAAGCATGCTTAGTGTGGGGGATTGTATTTGAGTCAATGAGTCAATGCAATCAACTGGTTTTCCTTAGATAGAAAACTTTGTATCAATTTGACTGTATGATCTGGTTGAACTGTAAAGTGCCTTGAGATGACATGTGTTGTGAATTTGGCGCTATATAAATAAACTGAATTGAATTGAATTGAATTATATATTCATTACATAATCCAATATTTCAGCTTTTATCTTTTGCAGTTTTAAGGATTTTAGCTTACAGAAAAAGTAATATGATTATTTGATAAGAAAAAAATGACATTTTAAACAGAAATATCAGGCTTTTTAAATGCTTGTTGGTCTCTTTGCAATTAAAATTTGCTCTGATAGCATCATTGTTATCTCTTCAGAATGCTGCAGATTCTCTATGAAGTTCATATAAGGGCAGATGTTGGCCAATCAAGGCCACTACCACATGCTATTACCTCATGCTAACTTTGGTAGTTTGGGCCAGGTCATGTTAAGGGATCTTAAGTGTCCTGCCTTATGGCTTCCCTTGACTGTGGACTTCAGGAAGTTCAGTAGACCAACACCAGAGGACACTGGACCTTAAGCAGCGTGGGTTCTGGACCTTGATTGCCAGAGGACACAAAAGGAAACTTTCCTTTTGTCTTAAAAAATTGAGTTTGAACCACTAAGATCCCAGATCTATTTCACCAGATGTTTTTAATATCGTTCATGGTTCTAGGGATAAATAAATCGCCCGTGTGTTGTTGGTTTCTCTGGGCATTTTGTGTTTTTTATATAATGACTACAGCCTCAGTCTACTCCTTCAGAAGGATGTAATTGAAACTCATTTTAGATTGGTATAGCAGGATCATTTTCTCTGCAAACAAAGACTAACGTCTTATTTTTATCTCTAACCCTAAATGTTGTCCAGGCTACCGTTACCGAGTCAGGTTCGGTTGCTCTGTCTCCCGCTGGCTCCCTGTTTCGACGACCTGCTGCACTGTAGTCGACCAAAATCCCGGTTGCTGCTCCAGCTGCGCGGTGGAAAAAGTGAGTCTGATGCGCGTTGGGCGGAGCTACTCTATCCTTTCTTTGCCTGTAACAGTGGCAGCTATATGTGCTGTGATCAGTGGGTAAAAAGTAGTTTGAATCTACTTTGAAGTGAGAAAGTCCATCTGAAAACATCTTCAGTGCAGTCAGTTCATCCAGATTACCATCCTGCCTTAGAGTATTATTTCTGTCGGAGCTGCTCAGACCCCTGTACACCGGCAGGGCGCAGTCACTAGGAATAGCATTCAACAGCAACCTCTGGCCCGGTCTCCTTCTCGCGGTGTGCCACAGCAGCTGGAAGGCGTTTTTCACGTACGTAATCCAAACTGCAGGCACCAGAATAATAAAAGCGATCATGTTTTGCTGGCAGATTTCGTCATTTTAAGTTAATTTAGCGATCTGCATCATCAGCGCTGCAATTGCTGCTCTGGTTCATGTGTTTTGAAGGCGTGGTTTCGAGGGGTGATCATGAAGGGAGAAGCATGGTTGTGTATGTTCAAAAATATACCTTGTTGGAACCGTTTTTCCAAGATCTCCTACAGCCCTTTTCAACAGATACATGCTACCTGAAAAATTAAATAAATTGATTTTCCATCAAATAATAAAAAAAAAACATGTTTTTATAAATTGTAGATATAAATAATGATTTTACTTTTGGAGAATGAATAGAGGAAAACTGTAAGGAGAAAGAAATACCTTCTCATAGAACTGAACTTAATGAACTAACCGGCAATTCAGCTGCAAATACCTTCTAAAAATAAATAACTGATGGAAGTTAAATGTTCTTAATGTAGAATGAATAAAACTTTCTCACCTTTTCCGTATTCGTAGCCCATTTTGAGCATAAGCTTGGATCCGATGCCTTTGGTATGGGCCTCCCAGCCACCAAAGTCTGCACTGTTTACTGTAACAGTAGATTCTGGGCCAGAGTCCAGAACTGTAACAATAAAAAAAAAAAAAAAAACAACAAAAATCTCATTGACAAGTGAAATCTAAAAGATGTATTCAAGTTTATATTTTACCACAGCAAATTCTAGTAATATTGTTTGTTTTGAGCATAATTTTTAGACCTTTTGCGTATCCCACTGAATCTGTATCTCCAGCTTCATCCGAATCCGAGTCGGAGGAGAGCGGGTCGTCTTCCCTCAGAGGTGGAATAATCCCGTCAGCCTCGACTACGGCATCTTTCATCAGCAGCGAGTCAAACTTTACCGTGTAGAAACCGCTGTCGATGTCTAACAGGAGAGAAAGCATCATGAATCAGACACACCCCCTACTGTTTTATTCCCCCAAAGACGTATCGTCACTTCACCAATAATTACCTTTTATCTTGGCCGGGTACCAGATCCCGTCCTCATGCCGAGCCAAGCAGGCAGAACCCTCTTCAAGATTACTGAGGTCTGACTCCAGGAACGCTCTGAGCTCCGACACAAACACCACCTCCCCGTGGGAAAACCTGCAGGGATCAGAAAATACTTTGACATGCAGGGAAATCAGAGATACAGACAAACAAACGACTTTGACTCAAACTCTTGGCTAAAACCACATTTACATGCAGTGCTGTGGAAATTAAATTAAACAACTGCAAACGTCCAGAGCTTTCATTTATTCATGTATTCAACCCCCCAATCCTTCTGTGGCCTTTCAACAGGATTTGTTCCAGGGTCAGAGTGTATTTAACTATATCTGAGGTGGAGACAGCATGACACGCCCACCACCATGTTCTACCAGGCGGGGACAGGAAGTCAGACATGGCATGTATCTACAGCTGGACTCAAAATTAGTTCTAAACCTGATAGTGTATTTTAGGTGGGTAAAACAGAGTCTAGACCTAAATCTGATAGAGTCCATGTAGCTGTACCGTTAAAGATCTAAGGAGCAGGGTAATGGCAAGGTGACCAAGCGAGAAATTCAGAAACTGTTAAGAGAGACAGGAATTCTTTTGGAAAAAACTTACAGATCTTTACAGAATCAAATCATAAACAGTTTAAGAAATTACCTGCAGTTTTCCTGAAAGCGACACTTGTCCTCCAGGTAGAACGGGCACGGTTTCATGGATTTCTGGGTGGGGTAGACGTAGAACACCCTAACCTGTGCCTCAACTCCGTCTGGCGGCTCCGCCCCCACCACCATGGCGTTGTGATATTCAAGCGTCCCCCACGACGTCCTGTAGGGGGCTCTTACTTTGGTACCACTGAGCTCATCTTCACCCTCTTCATCCTCCTCACAATCCCCCCCTCTACCTTCTACTCCGTCATCCTTCTCTCTGGTGTCAGAGCTGCTACCTGAACACTCTCCCAGTTCGGAGTAAAAAGCAGCAAACTCTGCGCTCAGACTCTCATTGGCCCCGCTGCTGTCAGCTGCTGTCTCTGAGGGGTTCACCAGCAGGTTGCTGCCGTCCTCTAAACTGGCCAGAAGCCGACTCTTTTTGACAGACACCAGACTGGCTTCTGTGAGCTCTATCAGCTGCTGAAGGTCTTCCTTTAGTTTTAGCAGGTCCGGCATCTGGCTTGGATCCAGGTCTGCAGACAGGGCCGCCTCCACCTGCTGCAGCTGAGCACCGTAGGCGGCGATCGCTGCCTCCAGGGTTTCTTCATCCATACTGACTGCTGGGCACCATCAAATTACCCTGACCTGATTAAAGATAAAGATAGAAAGTTAGAACTGGATGGATGGATGGATGGATGGATGGATGGATGGATGGATGGATGGATGGATGGATGGATGGATGGATGGATGGATGGATGGATGGATGGATGGATGGATGGATGGATGGATGGATGGATGGATGGATGGATGGATGGATGGATGGATGACAGATGGAAGCATAGATGGATGGATGGATGGATGGATGGATGGATGACAGATGGATGGATGGATGGATGGATGGATGGATGGATGGATGGATGGATGGATGGATGGATGACAGATGGATGGATGGATGGATGGATGACAGATGGAAGCATGGATGGATGGACGGATGATGGAAGGATGGATGACAGATGGATGGATGGATGGATGGATGGATGGCAGATGGAAGCATAGATGGATGGACGGATGATGGAAGGATGGATGACAGATGGATGGATGGATGGATGGACGGATGATGGAAGGATGGATGACAGATGGATGGATGGATGGATGGATGGATGGATGGATGGATGGATGGATGACAGATGGAAGCATAGATGGATGGACGGATGATGGAAGGATGGATGACAGATGGATGGATGGATGGACGGATGATGGAAGGATGGATGACAGATGGATGGATGGATGGATGGATGGATGGATGACAGATGGATGGATGGATGGATGGATGGATGACAGATGGATGGATGGATGGATGGATGGAAGGATGGATGACAGATGGATGGATGGATGGATGGACGGATGATGGAAGGATGGATGACAGATGGATGGATGGATGGATGGACGGATGATGGAAGGATGGATGACAGATGGATGGATGGATGGATGGATGGACGGATGATGGAAGGATGGATGACAGATGGATGGACGGATGATGGAAGGATGGATGACAGATGGATGGATGGATGGATGGATGGATGGATGGATGGATGGATGGATGGATGGATGGATGGATGGATGGATGACAGATGGAAGCATGGATGGATGGACGGATGATGGAAGGATGGATGACAGATGGATGGATGGACGGATGATGGAAGGATGGATGACAGATGGATGGAAGGATGGATGGATGGCGGATGGATGGATGGATGGATGGATGACAGATGGAAGCATAGATGGATGGATGGATGGATGGATGACAGATGGAAGCATGGATGGATGGACGGATGGATGACAGATGGATGGATGGATGGATGGACGGATGATGGAAGGATGGATGACAGATGGATGGAAGGATGGATGGATGGATGGATGGATGGATGGATGGATGGATGGATGGATGGATGACAGATGGAAGCATAGATGGATGGATGGATGGATGGATGGATGGATGGATGACAGATGGATGGATGACAGATGGATGGATGGATGGATGGATGGATGGATAGATGACAGATGGAAGCATAGATGGATGACAGATGGATGGATGGATGGATGGATGACAGATGGAAGCATAGATGGATGACAGATGGATGGATGGATGGATGGATGGATGGATGGATGACAGATGGAAGCATAGATGGATGGATGGATGGATGGATGGATGGATGGATGGATGACAGATTGAAGCATGGATGGATGGACGGATGATGGAAGGATGGATGACAGATGGATGGATGGATGGATGGATGGATGACAGATGGAAGCATAGATGGATGGACGGATGATGGATGGATGGATCCTGACTATTTTGTTTATTTAAGCCTTGAGGAAATGCAGCAGTTGCACAGCAGCTGCAGGAATGTGAAGATGAGTTACAGTAATTATTAATCTCATACTTCCAGTAGAGTTAAATAAAATAATCTCGTTTTTAAGCCTAACTTTAACTTCTGCAACGCATCACGGAGCAACAAGAAAAGTCTTTTATCTGAATGAGTTATGTATTTAACTTCCACCCAGCGGTTGGTTAAATGTGGTGAGCTGGGAATCAGGTACGTTCCCCGGAGACGGAGGGAAGACGGCCAGGGCTTCCGAGGTGAGCTGGTGTTAAGAAACACTATTCTTTTTTTTTAAAACAGGTGAGATCTTAATGAACAAAGTATATATTTCATTTAAACTAATCCACATTTACGCTTAAACAAAGTTCATTTTGGGTCCTAGATAGCGTATTATTTCTAATTTTATTCACAATTTTACCACTGCAGCCTGAGATTGAGAAACCCACTTCAACCCCCACCGACTCATGGGAAATTAATTAATAGAATTATCTGCTTATAAGATTTTTTTTTTTTGGGAAAATCCGATAATTTGTTTTACTAATTGGCTCCTTTTAAGGACATTTTTACAAGAAGTTAGCTTGATGTGTGTGTTTCCTGGATGGGGCCGCCTTTTACAGTTGCCTTTTGTATCTCTGCTTCTGTCTCCTTGAACCCCAGCAGATGGCCGCTCTCACTTAGTCTGGTTCTGCTGGAGCTTTCTTCCTGTTAAAAGGGAGTTTTTCCTCTCCACTGTCACTACAAGCATTCTCACTGTGAGGGATTGCCTTTGAGTCAATGCATCAACTGGTTTTCCTTAGATAGAAAACTATGAATCAATTGGACTGTATGATCTGGTGAACTGTAAAGTGCCTTGAGATGAAGTGTTGTGAATTGGCGCTATAAAAATAAACTGAATTGATGCCAACAAGCAATTGATTAAAATTGGTAGTGATCAGGGCGTGGTTTGGTGGCACAGTGGTTAGCTCACACGAGCCAGGTCTCTTACACTGTCTTATACCCCCTTTCCTGTCACCCTGCTGTCCATAAAAAATGAGCCACTAGTGCAGTTAAAAAAAAATGGTAACAATCCAGATCATGTGCAAGTTTTAGCTAGAGGTGTAAGTCACAAGATGGGGGGAATTTTGCTGCATGGTGTAGATCTGCACTCTCCGAATGCTCTTGTTTATTAATGTATTCATTCTGTTGTAGGTGTAACCTTAAAAACACAAATCATAAAAACAGATAATACAGTGGGAATACAAACATATACACTATATTGCCAAAAGTATTTGCTCACCTGCCTTGACTCACATATGAGCTTAAGTGACATCCCGTTCCTAATCCATAGGGTTCAATATGACGTCGGTCCACCCTTTGCAGCTAGAACAGCTTCAACTCTTCTGGGAAGGCTGTCCACAAGGTTTAGGAGTGTGTTTATGGGAATTTTTGACCATTCTTCCAGAAGCGCATTTGTGAGGTCGCACACTGATGTTGGACGAGAAGGCCTGGCTCTCAGTCTCCGCTCTAATTCATCCCAAAGGTGTTCTATCGGGTTGAGGTCAGGACTCTGTGCAGGCCAGTCAAGTTCATCCACACCAGACTCTGTCATCCATGTCTTTATGGACCTTGCTTTGTGCACTGGTGCAAAGTCATGTTGGAAGAGGAAGGGGCCAGCTCCAAACTGTTCCCACAAAGTTGGGAGCATGGAATTGTCCAAAATGTCTTGGTATGCTGAAGCATTCAGAGTTCCTTTCACTGGAACTAAGGGGCCAAGCCCAGCTCCTGAAAAACAACCTCACACCATAATCCCCCCTCCACCAAACTTTACACTTGGCACAATGCAGTCAGACAAGTACCGTTCTCCTGGCAACCGCCAAACCCAGACCCGTCCATCAGATTGCCAGATGGAGAAGCGCGATTCGTCACTCCAGAGAACGCGTCTCCACTGCTCTAGAGTCCAGTGGCGGCGTGCTTTACACCACCGCATCCGACGCTTTGCATTGCACTTGGTGATGTATGGCTTGGATGCAGCTGCTCGACCATGGAAACCCATTCCATGAAGCTCTCTGCGCACTGTTCTTGAGCTAATCTGAAGGCCACATGAAGTTTGGAGGTCTGTAGTGATTGACTCTGCAGAAAGTTGGCGACCTCTTCGCACTATGCGCTTCAGCATCCGCTGACCCCGCTCCGTCAGTTTACGTGGCCTACCACTTCGTGGCTGAGTTGCTGTCGTTCCCAAACACTTCCATTTTCTTATAATACAGCTGACAGTTGACTGTGGAATATTTAGGAGCGAGGAAATTTCACGACTGGATTTGTTGCACAGGTGGCATCCTATCACAGTTCCACGCTGGAATTCACTGAGCTCCTGAGAGCGACCCATTCTTTCACAAATGTTTGTAAAAACAGTCTGCATGCCTAGGTGCTTGAATTTATACACCTGTGGCCATGGAAGTGATTGGAACACCTGATTCCAATAATTTGGATGGGTGAGCAAATACTTTTGGCAATATAGTGTATGTCAAAGCCATTGCTCTCCAGTGGAGAAGACCCGCACACATAATGGGCTACATTTGCTGCCGTTTATACTAAACTACATAAGTTAGCAAAGAATCAGATCCTTCCTCCCAGCAGCTGTAATACTTTATAACCACCACTGTTCCCAACAACCTCAATAAGATGCTACATTAATGCTGATTTTGCACAGTTAGTCAGTTAAATAACATGCTGCTGTCATTTTGCACATCTCTGATGTTGCTGCTATTTTCAAATATCCATTACTGTAAAAATGTACATAGCTGTATATTGGTTATTTATTGTCCAGGTGCATAGTTTTTATATATTTAAAACACAGTGCAGTATTTTGTTGTTTATCTTTTAACTCTTACCTATTATGTTATTCTTATACAGTTTTCTAAGGTCAATGTTTGTTTGACCATCTTTTTTCCTATATTTTTTGTGCTGCTGTTAACACCAGAATGTCCCCACTGTGGGACAATAAATGCCTTTTCTATTCTACTTTTCATTTCTTTCAGATTTTTTTATTTTATTTCTTTTTTTTTATGGCGGGATTGGTCTTCCATACTCTGTTTCACCATCACTGCTGCTCTGCAGCTTTTCACTTGAAAAGGATCCTTACCTGGTTTACAAATTGGAGCAATATGAGCTACTATCCAAGCGGATAGAATAACCCCCTCTGTGAGCTAAAATCATATTTGATTAATGTTTTTGAAACCTTGGGTCTTTGTCTGGTCTGGGAAATAAAACCTACTGAAACATCACTTTAGCTGCTAGCCGTCTTCCCACGTAGATCGCAACAACTCTGGTTATAAAAGCACATTTATTACCTCAGTAAATAGTCGATTTCTGTGAAATCAGCTCTGCCTTCAGCAAAAGTGACCGCCTCATTGTTGGTTATTTTAGTAAGAATCCAGGAAAAATAGCTCGACCCAGGACAGAACCTACAGACCGGTGTCAGTTTGGCGGAAGTGAATAAAGGCAGAACTTCCGGTTAAAGTGCTATTCTTTCAAAATAAAACGAACATTTGAGTTTTCTCGGTTAATTGCAATTAAATCAAAGGTAAAGACTGACCGTTGGCCTAAGAGAGCTGTTCTATATCATATATGGAAGTTATAACGAAATATAAAATCAAACAACATTTATTTGCTTAAATTATGTTTAGTTTCTTGGGTGAGTTAAACAGAACCTTAAGATGGACTTTGTTAGGATAATTATCATTGAAGATGTATGGGTTTATTACACCTTGGTATTGGCTGCCTGTTTTGTGTCAGGAGTCAGGACTGATGTTTTAATCTAATTAAGACAGGTCCTCTGTCCGGATATAAAGTTATAATCTTCGTTCTGTATGTGGCAAAGATTTGGAAGTGGAATGAGAGCAGCATCCTTCAGCTAAGAACAAAGTGTAATATTTTGATAAGGCTGGAGGATGTCTAATTATCTGCTAGTGTGTATTGGGGCCACTTCCTGAGAAGTGAGCCCGGAGGTGAGCAGCTGCCTTCTGTAATTCTAAGAAACTTCTCTGATCTGAGTAAGATTACAATTTCTATCAGAGTCTGTTTTCATGCCTCATTGTTATTTAATACATATAAATTATGAAGTGTTATTTAAAGAGTTTGTCTAGAGTGATCTCTTTTAAGGGAAAAGAACCGGAGGGATAAAGCTTCATGGTGTAGACACAGAGAGCATATATTTAACAACTTAAAGACAGTTTCTATCATTTCTTTCTGAAGAACAATTCCAGGCTAAATTAATGTCTCAGAAGGATCTTCAAAAAACACACATCTGTACATTTACCTTAAGTTAAATTAATAAGTGCAATGGTTTCTTCACAGATTGCAGTTGACGTGCAGAAAACATCCTCACAAAAATGAGGTGAGTTGGGCCCAGTTCTAATGTCCTGACACAGGCTTTCAGAGGCAAAATCCTGCTGCTAGTTTAGACATAAAAAAAAAAGCCTTGTACAAAAAATAGATAAATACATTTTAAAAACAAACAAACAGCACATTACAGATTTGTGGTCACTGTATAATACAGACTCAAATATTCTGGTTCAAATCTGATTTGTGTCTTCAAAACCAGAAATGAATAAGGAGAAAAAGAATTACTTTCTTGCACCCCATGAGATTGTGAAAATACTGCAACCCACATTTAATTTTAAAATAATATTAAAAACCCTCTTAGAGTTGCCTTTGACTGCTCTGTTTAAAAGGGTTTTATGTTGTTATTGCTTCATTTCTTGTTTAGCTGCTTCTCTGAAAGTATCCCATATACTTTTTTGTGTTTCCTTTTTTTTTTTGTTAACTTAAAGCCCTGTAAACTCCTGTCTCCGGGATGTGCTTTAATAAACACATACCTGCCATGCCAGTTAGTTTGTAACTTTCGAAAATATTTATTTTGAAAAGAACCGGAAATCCTTATCCTTCGTAAAACGTATGCGTCACCGACGCAGTTTTATGACGCTGCAAGGCATTCAGCGGTAACTTCGTCAGTGTGCGATGTTTACTATTTTGTTCCTTAGTTAACTTGTCTTAATAGCAGACTTTTCAGGGGCATTTCTTGCTACAGCTGGGATGAAGGTAGGCTGCTGTTTATCCCCGCCCCTCTTTAGCAGCATTAAGGCTGTTAGCTTAATTTAAACACGAATTAGTGGAGACATCACGCATTAATCTCAATTAATTTATCTTAACACATTATGAAATATGATAAAAAACCAAACCAAAATCATGTTAAGGTTTAAATGCTATGAGGAATCAAAACCTTTGAACTTATTAGCATTAGGTTAGCTGTCAGTAGTGATGGTGAGATGAAGCCTTATGAGGCATTGAACCGTTTGAATCCCCACAGTTCATGAAGCTTCATGTGAACATGTCACCTACTGGTGGAGTGCAGAACTGCAGTTAGTAATAAAATGATGTTTTTTCTTTTTGCATTTTTTTTGTTGCTTTTCCCATTTAAGTTCCTTTGAAATTGTTAATGATTGGTGTGTGTATTTTTTGTGTCAAATGCCTTAGAAGAGAATTTTTTCATTTTAGGCACACAGTTTTTCTGCCATTTTGGTGAAATAAGATCAAGCAGACAGTGAAAGTGCTTGTGCAAATTGGGCAATGATGAGCAAATTAAAAGGTGTTAATAATTTTTATTCAAACATAATAGTTTTTCCTCAGTTTTTGGTTTTAATTTTCTAAACCAGTCCATCTATTTTGGCACTGTTTTTACTGAATTTATAGAGGGCAAACCAATACAAATTATTCACATTAGCCAAAATACTTAAGTATAATTGCAACTTTCAAAAGTCTAAGGTGGGTCTTGAACCATCAACGTCAGGAGTGAAAGTCTTACTTACAGCTGGCATCACCAACATTGATTCAACAGAAAGCAATACTACTTAACACTAAAGTTAAAACTGTATCCAGCAGCTTGCTCAGATTTTGATCATTACATTGTTTAACTAAAATGGTTTTAACCAACTAGATTGATTGATTGTTTTTCAATCAATCAATTCTTAGAATCTATCCATCCTGCTGACAGCAACTCTCCTACAAACTCTCACATCTTGACTGAATCCTGAAGCTGTTTAAATGCCTGTCAAAGTTATTGCACTTTCTGAACCACTTGCTAAAGCGGTCATGCGGTATCACGGTAGCGAGGCTTCAGACGTCATCAATTTTGGCCCCTAAATGAATCACGCCTCGGAGAAACAACCCCTCCACTACTCGACACACGCCTCGAAGCCTCGGCTCATCTCATAACATAACTAGCTCCTTTCTTTATTAACTATAGTAACCCTAAAGCCAATAAACAATTGAAAATTAGCTGGATTTAATAAAAATGCAAAGAGGAACAGAGTTGAAGTAAATGAAATTACATATTGTCCATGATTAAACTTCCCACCTACCCTTTTACAGAGGTGCCCTCCCAGTGATGCCTCCAGCCATGTCTCAGATCAATGATCCAAAGATCGCCTTCGCCTATCTGCGGCCAGCCTGTGTCCTGCTCACCAAGGAGCCCACGCTGGCCAACGTGGAAACACTTAAGGAGCAGTTAGAACATGTCGATGAAGCTTCACTGCAGCAGCTCCAAGAGTACGTCCTCTTCCCCCTCCGCTTTGTCCTCAAAGTCCCCGGGCAGAAAAAGGAAAAGCTGGTCCAGGCTGTGGCTGAAGCAGTGAGCCATGTCCTGGAGAGGACTTGTGTCCAAAGCTGGGACACCCTCCATGACCTCTTCTCAGAGCTCTGCCTCTGCCTGTCCTCCCCCACAGACCCGGGGAAACCTGCAGAAACATCAGAGGAGCTGAAGTTAGCTGTTCTAAGGTGCTTGGATGCTCTGCTCCACTCTGCGTATGGCGACATAGTCTTCAGACTCTATGAGCCCATGATGCTTCCTGGGCTGGGCGCTGCTGTATCACTGCTGCTGGCTTTAGGAGAAAAGGACAAATCCAGAGATATACAGGCCGCGGCCTTGAAGTGCCTCCAGTCTTTGGTTCTGCACTGTAACTGCTCTCAGGAGCATGTTGTCCCGTCATCGGATGAGCGACGCTGTGTGGGTGGCACCATGGCTTCCTTCCTACCGGGGATCACTGTGGCTGTAGCAAGGATCATCAGCGGAGATCTGAGGCAAGGTCATGCAGTGACAGTCAAGGCCATGAAGGTAAAAAAAAAATAAAAAATTCAAATGAATTTCATGGTTGATTTATTAAAAACAAATGCTGTAATTATCTAACCACTGTCCATGCTTTTGGTATCAGTTAATTCAAACACGTCCTAATTTAAATGTTTTTTCACTTGATAATTGAAATAGGTTGACATGTTAGCAGTGTCTGTCGGTTTATAAAGGAGCACAAGCTAAAGTTAGGGCCCCTAAAACGTTGCATTATGCCACATTACACATACCTGGATTCTCTTTATAAAAATCAACTAAAAATGTGTCATAAATGTAAGATGGAAGAAAAAATTATACAGTTTTTTGATACTAATTTTATCTAAAATTGGTTCTGCTGAAATGATTCATCAGATTAATCGGATTTTTTTGCTATTGAAATAATCATCAATATATATCTATATATCGATTTAAACTGTGACCTAAAGTGTTATGACACCAAAAGAATAACCTACTTACAGCATCAAAGGATACAACTCTACAAATATAAACCTTAAAAATAGTAAAACATATAAAAATAATTTCATTAAAGATACATTTTTCTTATATTAAGTAAAAGAAATACATGTATATATGCAAATTATTTTATGTTTTGCCATTTGCTATTTAATTAAAATGCACAGTAAAGTTTAAAAAAAAAGAAATGAATGAAAAAAATGTACAAAAACTATTGTTTAGAATAACAGATTTATCAAAAACAATAATAAATCAATCAGTTAGTATCCTGTCAGTATGTTATTGATGTTTTTGCTATTTCCATTTAAAATTCTTTTATTTATGTTGATTATAATAGAAAAACAACAACAAAAAAACAATATTCTAAGATATAACGATATAACAGGGCGCTGATCCCTTAATCATTCGAAAAAGAAAAACCGTCTAAATATCACAATCCATCTTTGTTTCTCTCTGTGCTACTTTGTGTTTGTCTGCCACAGTTTAAATCACAAGTAAATACATGAAACTTGACAAAATGTGAACAAGTTCAGGGGCCTGTTTCAATAAGGAAGTTCAACCAACTCTGAGTTAAAACTTCAACTCTGAGTTGACTTATCCTGAGATTGGAAACTCTGAGTTTTGGGTTTCAGAACAGCTGAAATGAGTTAGTTCAATCAACTCTAAATTGACTGACTCTGAGTTAAGCGCGTGCACCACAACTATAAAAAGCCATTATCAATGGAGCACAGATATTACGAGTCACCATGGCAACAGCGTCAGACAAAAAAAGGTGTGCATATTTCTCACCAGCAGAACTGGATGTGCTTATGCAAGCATATGCAGAAGTTGAACATGTATTTTTTAAAAAAAGCAACACGGCTGCAGCGGCGAAGGAGAGAGAGTTAGCTTGGGTGAAAATAGCTGCTCGAGTCAATGCGTAAGTTTACATTTTAATTACTTTTATACAGTGTTGGGTGTAATGAATTAAGTTACTTAAGTCATATAAATACTGTCATTAAATTAAAGACTATAAAACAATAGTGGATTTAATATCAAATTTTAAAAGGTATATTTTGATTTGAACTTTCTCCCTCTAGTTACACACTTTGGTCAATTTAAGATTAATTCATGCAATTGAATATTGTTTATTTGAAAGCATTAGAAGTGCAGTTTCTTGTCTCTCCTTGTATTGTTCAAGTGGTTGAGGTTGATTTGGGATTTAGAAAGTAATTAATAAGTAAGTAAAACAAAGTTTTCATGGATAGGTGCAATCCTGCAGGCATCAAAAGAACATGGCAGCAGCTGAAAATGAAATATAAAAACATACTTCAAGCAGGTAAGCCTTGAGCACATCATGGGAGTAGAGTAGCTACCTGGCTTTACAAACAGGATCATCCATAAAAGGACATGCCATTTCATTCCCTTTGATGCGCTCTACGTGACTGAAATGTGTGCAATGAATACTGTATGTCCCCAAAGAATCAATGAGGTGTTTAAACACCACTTCCTCTTTAAAAAAGGGGAGGAGACCAAAATAAACTCTGGATTTTCTGCAGAAAACCTGCTCCTGACCAGGTTAGGTTCACAGAGTAAATTGCCATGGTAACTGACTCTGAGTATAAGTTACCTCTCTTTCAGAAACGGGCTTGACTTACTCTGCTTTCTCAGGTTTAACTTACCTCCCTTTCTGAAACAGAAAACCCAGAGTTTTCCTCATTTCAGGGTTAACAAACTCAGAGTTTTCACGTAACCTCCTTTCTGAAACAGGCCCCTGGAGCGTTGCATGGTTTTTACTCCTTAGAAATCAAATTGCTGGTATTTTTCAGGTTTGGTCCGGGTCAGTGGGGCTGGTCATGGAGGATTCCCATCTGCAGAGCACTGAGTCCGGTAAACCTCCTCCCCCAGACCTGGGTAGGATCACGCAGCTCATGGTCCAGAGGACGCCAGACTGGGTGAAGGGAACAGCAAGGAAGCTGTGTGTGCTGCTGAAGAAGATCATCTCCTGCACTTCAGCCCACGAGCACTGGAAGGTCAGGCTGGAAATGGTGGAGCTGGCCGACCATCTGCTGGCAGCGTGCGGCCAGTCGCTGAAAGAGTGTGTGGGGCCGCTCCTGGAAGCCCTGGTGGGAGCGATAAACGATAAAGAGCCCAGAGTCAGAGAGAGGTTTGTTTTCATGCTTTATTCTGTGAGGATGACGACTCAAACCTCAGACTGATGCTCCATTCTCCTTCTGTAGGTGTGAGGTTGCTCTTAGAGACGTTTCACAGAGGAATCAGAGCAGCACAGACAGTAAGAACTTGACTGATGTGTTGTCTGAGAACCTTCACTCATTAGCCACCTCCCTCCCTCGGCTGATGAGGACCTCTGACGACCAGAAGAAGCTGTTTGTCCTCAATGTGTTCCTTGGTTACCTGAAAGTCCTCGGGCCACTAGTCTCTGTGGTGCTAAACTCTGCTGCACACCTGGACAGGATCTCCAAAGCACTAATGCAGGTAATACATGAGGGCTGGGAAAGGAAAAAATAGCTTCTCTTGTATTTTTTGTATTCAAAAACATCTGGAAACATTTGCTGAGGACTGAGAAGATAAAAGCTTAACCTTTTGGAAGGTTTGCTTCTGGTTCCATTTGGAGATCTTTAGACTTCTATGCTTCATTCAGACCACATGCAGCAGAAGCAGCAAAAATGTGCGTGCTGCTTCATTTTTGATGCTCGTACAAGTTAAGTTCTGAGGCGAGGCTGAAGCACCTTTGCTGCTCTAGCTGCGCGGTGGAAAAATGGGTGTGATGCGGGTTGGGCGGAGCTATCCTATCCTTTCTTTGCCTGTAATAAGTGCAGCTATATTTTCTGTAATCAGTGGGTAAAAAGTAGTTTTAATGTTTTTAAGTGAAAAAGTCCACCTGAAAACTTCTTCTGTGCAGTCAGTTCATGAAGATAACCGTCCTGCCTTCAAATATGATTTCCTTGTCGGAGCGGCTCAGACCACCACATACCGGCAGTGCTCTGTCACTAGAAATCCACTTTAGCCTCTGGCCAGGTCGCCTCTTAGCGGTTTTCCGCTACTGTTAGGGGCAGCTGGAAGGCATTTTTTTATTTATGAATCCTAACTGCAGGCACCAGAATAATAAAATCAAACTTATATTAACGGCAGGTTTCGACATTTTAAGTTAATTTAGACGTAAAACCGTTTCAGAGGAGTGATCATAGCGATCTGCATCAGCAGTGCTTTGTCTCTCTCCCAGATCAGCTTCTCTGATTGGTTGATGTGGTGCTTCGAGCAGCAAAAGTTCAATTTTTGCAGGGCATCATTGCACGTCAGAAGCTCATAAGGTGCTGCTCCTGCTGCTCAAATTGCTCTGCAGGACCGACGTCGAGGTGCTAACGTCTCTATTAAACACTTAAAAAAACTCTGAAAATGGAATACGAAAGGTGGATTCTTGATTCTCGACGTCGGAGTACACAGAGTGAAGCGAAAAGACTACAACTGTGTAAACAGGCCCCATTTCCGTTTCCGGTGGCAGGGGAATATTGACTATTCCAACAGAACTCAATGGGATTTACAAAATGCTAAATAAAACACTACAGGAACGTTTTTTCTTTACGAAACTTTTTTTGGAACGTCATTGAACAGCGCTGACGACCCGGTGAGTAGCATATTTAAAAAAAAGAAAGTTTAAGGTTGTTTTAAGGACATTATCGGACATGCTCTATGGAAGCCATTCTAAAGCAGCCAGGGGGTGATTCTAAATGAGCCAAAAAGCAGAGACAGGACCAATTGTCAACATTTTGGTGTCGATCATTCGATTTCATCCTGGACACTACAGAAAATGGGCTTAAAGTGTTAAAAACCGAACTTCTCCTTTAATTGTCTACTGATGGTGGTCAGAGGGCCCGGTGGCGCCAGTGTACGGGAGCCGCGCCTCTGTCATTGAGCCCCAGGGTAGCCGTAGCTACAATGTAGCTTGTGAGTTTGAATGGGTGAATGAATGTAGTGTAAAGCGCTTTGGTCAAGTCTCCTCACTTGAAAAGGCACTATATAAGTACAGGCCATTTACCATTTACTATTAATTATTAAATAAAGGACTTAATCCTTCATAATCTGTTGTTGAATAGAAAAGAATCAAATGATCGATGGTTTTTCTGTGTATAACTATCAATAAAACAAATTGTAATGTGAGGTTGATTAAGGAGAATGAGGTGGTAGAAGTCCAATGATGTGACGGATTAAACTGGAGGAGACGTCTCTATCTACTGCTTCTGGCGGGAAGGATGAGGGAACAGGCATTTATCTCTCTGAGAGCCCTAGAAAGGGTTAAAGCTGTGCAAAAGACTCCCTGCTAATTCGTACCTGATGGAGGTGAATGATTTTATTCCCTCACATAGAACCAGGTTCATTTTCTTGGGTTTTTCACACAAGAAATGAAATGAGGGTTTTCCCCTTTGTTTGATATAAAAAATGTCGTTAGATGATTTTATAACATTGAGATGTAAAAAAAAAAAAAAAAAAAAAGAAGAAACCTGTAGGGGAAAAAATCAACTGAAATAATGTCTCCAGGTATCGGACTTTACAGGTGCTGGTCATAAAATTAGAATATCATGAAAAAGTAGATTGATTTCAGTAATTCCATTTAAAAAGTGAAACTTGTATATTATATTCATACATTACATACAAACTCATATATTTCAGATGTTTATTTTGTTTAATTTTGATGATTACAAATGACAACAAATGAAAATCTCAAATTCATCATATCAGAAAATTAGAATATTACTGAAGACCAATAAAAACAAAGGATTTATAGAAATGTTGGCCAACTGAAAAGTATGAACATGAAAAGTATGAGCATGTACAGCACTCAGTATTTAGTTGGGCCTCCTTTGGCCTGTATTACTGCAGCAATGCGGCGTGGCATGGAGTCGATCAGTCTGTGGCACTGCTCAGGTGTTATGATAGCCCAGGTTGCTCTAATAGTGGCTTTTAGCTCTTCTGAATTGTTGGGTCTGGTGTATTGCATCTTCTTCTTCACAATACCCCATAGATTTTCTATGGGGTTAAGGTCAGGAGAGTTTGCTGGCCAATTAAGAACAGGGATACCATGGTCCTTCAACCAGGTACTGGTAGCTTTGGCACTGTGTGCAGGTGCCAAGTCCTGTTGGAAAATGAAATCTGCATCTCCAAAAAGTTGGTCAGCTGCAGGAAGCATGAAGTGCTCTAAAACTTCCTGGTATGTGGCTGCGTAGACCTTGGACCTCAGAAAATACAATGGACCAACACCAGCAGATGACATGGCACCCCAAACCATCACTGACTGTGGAAACTTTACACTGGACTTCAAGCAACGTGGATGAAGTGCCTCTCTTCTTTTCCTCCAGACTCTGGGACCTTGATTTCCAAAGGAAATGCAAAATTTACTTTCATCAGAGAACATGACTTTGGACCACTCACCAGCAGTCCAGTCCTGTTTCTCTTTAGCCCAGGCAAGACGCTTCTGACGCTGTCTGTGGTTCAAGAGTGGCTTGACACAAGGAATGCGACAGCAGAAACCCATGTCTTTCATACGTCTGTGTGTGGTGGTTCTTGAAGCACTCACTCCAGCTGCAGTCCACTCTTTGTGAATCTCCCCCACATTTTTGAATGGGTTTTGTTTCACAATCCTCTCCAGGGTGCGGTTATCTCTCTTGCTTGTACACTTTTTTCGACCACATCTTTTCCTTCCCTTCGCCTCTCTATTAATGTGCTTGGACACTGAGCTCTGTGAACAGCCAGCCTCTTTAGCGATGACCTTTTGTGTCTTGCCCTCCTTGTGCAAGGTGTCGATGGTCGTCTTTTGGACAACTGTCAAGTCAGCAGTCTTCCCCATGATTGTGTAGCCTATAGAACTAGACTGAAAGACCATTTAAAGGCTTTTGCAGGTGGTTTGAGTTAATTAGCTGATTAGAGTGTGGCACCAGGGGCCATCAATTTTGAACCTTTTCACAATATTCTAATTTTCTGATATGATGAATTTGAGATTTTCATTTGTTGTCATTTGTAATCATCAAAATTAAACTAAATAAACATCTGAAATATATGAGTTTGTATGTAATGTATGAATATAATATACAAGTTTCACTTTTTAAATGGAATTACTGAAATCAATCTACTTTTTCATGATATTCTAATTTTATGACCAGCACCTGTACCTTTAAATTATGTTAATATAATTTATAACCATAATAGTGTTACACATTTTGGATTCATTACATACGTTCAGTTCTTCTTAGTAAATTTTTCTCTTTGTCAGTTTAATGGAGCATAGTATTGTCTCAGTGAAAAGTTGTTTTATGTCCCTAATTTAAAAGTGCGATTTATTTTTCAGCATTTTGTGCATTTCATTTATTGCATAAAACAAACCACTGTGAAAGAGGGTTGAAACTGTCTTTGCAGGTTCTGGAGCTGGATGTGATGGATGTTCATATCGTGGAGGAAAGGAGCTACACTGACCCCATAGAGAGCACCTCCGGCCCCCATGACTCCTCCACCGCTCACACTCAGAGGAAGCATTTCCTGTACTTCACAGATGAGAAGATCTTCTGCGTGCTCATGGAAATCTGCAGAACTTTAGGTAACCATCATAAGCATTGATGTCATCTATTTTTTCTTCTTTTTAAATGATGTATTTGAACTATGAAAATACTAACCTGACTCTGCCAGATGGATTTGCTCCGCATATCCATCTGGAAACCTTCAGTTGAAGTAATTTTGGGAAGGGGCGAAAATACTGGTTAGCTGATTGGCCGGTGTTGGTGATAGACGGGCCAAATAAACCAAATAAACCAATCAGATCAACGAAGCATATGACGGATTAACAGCCAGGCTACTCTTGCCGAAACTAGTCAGGAGAAGAGCAAAAACATCTTTTCCTCTGAGAAAAGCCTCCAGAGCAGTGTTTTGCTCTTCTTTCAGTGAAGAAATACTCTGTAATTCCGATAAAACTTGCTAGATAGCCACGCTAACGCTAGTTTCATCGGCTGAAGCCGCCATGTTCTTTAGACTGAACTGTCGCGCTTCTCGTTGCGTCACACCTCAACCCACCTCAAAGCCAACGCTGATTGGACGTTCGTTTGGTGAACGGCTCCAAATTTTTTTCAACGGAGAGTCTCCAGACTGACTAGCGAGCGAAATCTTGAAAGCTCGCGAGATCAGGATGGTCTCACGAGGCTATGAAAATACAGCTTTAAAGGACAAAACGGGAAGTACAAGTCCAGATCATTACTGATTTTTCCTAATCCACATTGGCTCAGAATTACACATGCAGGCTATTTTATGTAATAGTTTCCTTTTTATTTGTTTTTTTAATTTTGTATACCGTATTTTCTGCATTTTGTTTTTATTTTATTTTATTTGTTGTGCTTGCAGTTTAGCAAATTTTATTGTCTCATAATATTTTGGTTTTATAAATATGTATTTTTGTGTTTCTTGAGTGTACCATGTCTTTATAGCCTTTATTATCCTCATTTACTTTTTTTTTTGTTGGGCAATGTTATGTTTCACGTCTTTCTTATGTTTGTCCTCTAGCTGAAATAAGGTGTCAAAAGTAGAGTTGCGCTGATGCCATTTCTTTGCCCTGATACGATACCTGATACCTGGCTGGGCAATATTGGCTGAAAGCGATACCATCTGTTTGAAATTGATCTGTGTGTACATATATGAAGAACTGCATACTACTTGGATGTAGAATAATTGCCATCATGGCTTTGTCAAGCTGCTGCCTACCTTTGTGAAGCAGGAAAAAGACTAAAACAAAGTGAATCCAGTAGAACTTTTTATTGCCTAACTGGAATGGGTGACAATAGTTGAATAAACTTCTGGCTTTGAAAATCTACGGGTGCCCTGTCCGATACTGGTATCGCTATCGGTGCAACACTAGTCAAAAGTATTTATGTTTATTACATAAGTAGAATTATAAATCCTACTGTTTAAAAACACTTTTGTATAAGTATCAACTTAAGCTTTTTACTCAAGTAAAAGTTGAAAAGTAAGACTTTTTAAACTAAATGTATAAAAGTAAAACTAATGCAGGATGAATGTTAAGGACGAAGCTTTAAGCCTTATACTGGTATCTGCACTAACCTATTATATGACATTTTTTAGATACAGTTCTGGATGGTAACTTCCTTATACTTAATTTTCCTTCTATTATTATTAATGGCAACAGTGGCAAATGTAACTTTGCATCCCCACACACCAAAATAAATAGTTTATTCTTGTACCATTACAAAGAAATTAATTGTCTGGATAAAACAAATTAATTTATGTTTTTTTGTTTTGTTTTTTTTAGACACTAACAGGCGATCATGAATATGAGCTTAAATGAAACAAAACCAATGAGTCTATTTTTAAAATGTACGGAGCAGAAAAAAAGAGATCATTGCAAAAAATGTAAGGAGTAGAAGTCAAAAGTTGTCTAAAAAATAATTACTGTGGTAAAGTATAGATGGCCAAAATTACTACTTAAGTAAGTTAACAAAGTATTTGTACTTTGTTAATTGACACCTCTGCTAACTCACTCAATTTCTGTTTATTTTATTACTTTTTCCTGTCTTTCCTTCTTTTTTTTTGCACAATATGAGATGATATTCTTTTAATGTATTCCATACTAATTTTTATTTAAATTTCATTCTTTATCATCTCCCTTTCCATTTCCTAGGTTACTACGGCAACCTCTACCTTCTCACTGATCACCTCTTGGACCTGTATCGACAATCCTCAGCCTACAGAAAGCAGGCTGCCATGGTCCTAAATGAGATGGTCAGAGGCGCCGCTGGTATGGCGGTGCAGGCTCGCCATTTGGATGGCGGTGAATTCCAGGGTCACCCTGCTTCCAATGAAGACCTTAAAGCAGCAGTGGTGTCGATCATGGAGGAATACACCAGCCTAAACAACTGGCACCTGATAACCGTGAGCGAGGAGACGGACATAGACCGTCAGGATCAGCAGGTAAACAGTTGCATAGCTGAATATATATATATATATATATATATATATATATATATATATATATATATATATATATATATATATATATATCCTTTCATGTTAACATTGTGGTATATAGTGCGTAATCTAAAGAAAGAAACAAGTAAAATGTAGATAAACATGGTTTAATCATATTTTGCCAGACTGCTCTGAGCATGTCAGATAAAGACGTCAGAGAAGCAGTTTAACGAAGAAAATGTAAAAACTATCAAAATTGTCTGACAAAAGTCATACAAAGATGTGTATTAGCATTCTTTAGGGAGTTAACGATAGATATGTAAATATGTAATTTTAGTAGCGTAATTGCATTATGTATATCTGTTCGCGCATGTGCAGGACGGATCGTGCTTCCGGGACAGATGGGGTAGTGACAGGGCCGAACAGTGTTAGAACATGCATCGTGAGCTGATTGTGAGCTGTGAAATTTTAAAACATGTAGTTTCATCATACAGTTTGAACTGTAGCTGCATGCAACGATTGAATATATCGCTCAGTGTATGCCCGGCTTAAGCGTCACTGAATTATTTTCCTTAGATTTCTACCTATTTCCTGTATCTGTACAGTATGACACTCGCATAACCTGTCAAGTGGTTTTATTTTGGTATTCTTTATCAAGACTTGAGATGTTTCCAAAAAAAAAAAAAAAAAAAATCGTTTAAAACATGAATAATAAAGTTCTTGTATCTTTTCACTTTTCTCCTTCGTCCTAAAGGCATATTTCAATTCATTTATTCCTGCTTCTAAAACATTGCTGCATAGACTGATTGGCAGATAAGGGTTTATTACACAGCTCTTTTTCGCTGATTATGTGTTGCCAGTTAACCGGTTATTGTCTCTATTGAAACAACTTTACCAAGTGTTTAGAGTAATGCACTACAGAACTAAAACAGAAGTCATTTTTCTTGAAAACGGCATATTTTCCCTTGATTAAAGCAGGTAAGAAAGACAATTTTCCAATGGAATATGATGATATATGTTCGAAATAATAATAAAAAAAAAACAACCTGATTGTCTTATATTAAGTGTATTTTTATAAATAAGCCCAGAGTAGCAATGGGTTAGCGGGATTTTACAACAGCGGGGCACAACATGAATTTGATAGATTTAAGTCGCTTATTGCTTTTATAAAACGGTCACCTTCTTATTGCCTAGAAAATAAAGAAAACGGATTCCTAGAGATGATCTTGGTGCCGGAGTTTGTAATGGCTGTTTTTTCAAATGTGAGGCATCATGATGCAAGAAAATCAGACCTGTTCAAACGCTGCTCCTCCAACTACCCATCAAAGTTCACCACAAAGATAAAAGTTTAAAAAGCAGCATCCTTTCTAAAGCAAGGACTTCTACGACAACTGAGAACCATTTATTCTCCTTGTCAAATCAGATTAAGTGGGACGAATGATCATCTAGCAAACACAGCCGGCCTGCTGACATTAGCACAGGAATATTTTGTGCTGCGTTCTTTTTAATTTCTAATTGTGGATTATGATGCTGTATTCTAGAACAGCATTCTCAGCCAATCACATTTAAGAAAAGGAAACATTAGTTTTAAATATCTAATTATCTTCTTTTTAAGGCAAAACTAGTAATTCAATTCCATCCTGTTAAACTGCTCAAATAAAGGATAAATACACTAATTTTAAAGGCATTCAAATTATTTCTAGATCACTTTTTGCAGTGTTGAAAATTCCCCTACCTTTTTTGTGGCTGTGGGTCAGAGGCAGAACTAAAATGTGCAAACTCTGGCTGACAGTTTTCACCTGTGGGGGAACATTTCACACACAAACAGAAAACTGATGGGATGAAATGAAAGATGCACAATTTGGTGTTTTAGGCTTTTAAGAAAAACTCTTGAGGCAAACCCAAAAGTCTGACCTGAAAACCTTTGTCTGGGCTGGGCTTCCTGCCCTGTGAGTTTCTCATGCCTGTCTAAAGCAGTTTACAGCTCTACAGCCATTATTTCCCATTTTTTCAATAATTAAGCCTTTTGGCTTCATCACCTGTAACAAGAGAACAAAAATGAACAATAATTGGTTTGGTTTCTTTCTTATTTTTTTTTCTCTGGTTCTTTTTGTTTATAAATGTTATGTGTTAAATGTCTGTCTGTCCATTTCCCTTTAAATGACACCAGCTTTGTTAGAAAAATGTATTTCTGGACTGAACAGCAGAGCTGGTATATGAGATATGCTGATCACAAAGATGGCACATCTTTATATTCTGCTACTGAGAAAACCCTACTCAGTTTTCCAGCATCAAAGAAATCTGGAAATATTTAAAAATTTTCTTCAATTCAGTTTATATAGAGCCAATTCACAACACATATCATCTCAAGGCACTTTATAGTTCACCAGATCATACATTCAGATTGATTCAAAGTTTTCTATCTAAGGAACACCAGTTGATTGCATAGACTCATTGACTCGAAGGCAATCCCTCACACTAAGCATGTGCTTAGTGTGCTTAGCCCCCCCAAGAAAATAAAAGAAATGAGCCCAACTGGGGTTCAAGCAGACGGAAGCAGAGATACAAATGGTCCAGGAAACACACAGCCAGGCAGACGAGCTCCGAGCCAGCTCCCATGTAAGAGGATGAAGAGAGCACATCCAGCCAGTCACAGTCAGAGAAACGGGACTACACTGGAAAAACAGGCCGAGCTCGAACATCTATAAACAAAATTGTTGATGACAGCAGCACAGCTGATATTTCTCTCCAAGATGGTGTCACAACCAAACAGGAACAGACCAGATTAAGCTACTATGAGGAAAAGCAGAGAGAGCAGAATGTTAGAGATTGAACTAACAGATTCTGCAGAGTGGAAGATAGAATGATGAAATAGGGTACCTTTGTCCTCCAGCAGTCTAAGCCTATAGCAGCATAACTATAGAGATGGCTCAGGATAACCTGAGCCATCTCTAACTATAAACTTTATCAAAAAGGAAAGTTTTAAGCCTACCCATAAAAGTAGACAGGGTGTCTGCCTCACGGACTAAAACTGGTGGTTGGTTCCACAGGAGAGGAGCCTGATAACTAAAAGATCTGCCTCCCATTCTTTTATTTTTAATTCTAGGAACCACTAGTAAACCTGCAGATTGAGAGCGAAGTGCTCTGTTAGGAACATAAGGAACAATCAGATCTCTGATATAAGATGGAGCTTGGCCATTTAAGGCTTTCTATGTGAGAAGGAGGATTTTAAACTAGCAGTTTTACATGAAAATGTGCTACTTTATATTTTTAGTAGCGACTCCCGCTAACAAGAAAAATTAAAAGTTTGAGATATTTCTAAGCACCAATTTAATACCAAAATAAAATATCAGTGGTTTGTTATTTTATTAAAAAGAGACTGATTAGATCCATAGTAACATCTTTTTTTTTTTTTCTCTGTAGGTGCTGAGTCCTTTCAGTCTCAAGTCCATAACCAGCAGTGAAATCTTCAGCAGTGCTTCAAACTCTCTACAAGTGATTCCTTCTTCCTCCACCTCTCCTCCAACCTCATCATCCACGTCTACCCTCCACCAGCTCAACAGCAACATCTGGCAGCTGTGCATCCAGCTGGAGGGCGTGGCGTGCTTCGCCCAGGCTCTGCGGCGGGACTTCCGCCCTCTGCTGATGACGTCGCTCTACCCGGTTCTGGAAAAAGCCGGCGAGGAGACCCTGTTGGTCAGCCAGGCGGCGCTCAGCACCATGATTGACCTGAGCGAGGCCTGTGGCTACTCCTCCCTGAAGGAGCTGATCAGCGACAATTCGGACTACCTGCTAAATGACGTATCGGTGAACCTGCAGAGGCTCAGTCAACACCCTCAGGTACAGCTGCTGCAGAATAAAAGGTTAAACGCATCTGTCCAGGTCTTTCTAATCTTGTAAGGTGTTTCTCCTATCCTGTTGACCAGGCTCCACGGGTATTAATGGTGATGCTGGCTCACTCGGACTGTAACCTGCTGCCCCTGATCAGGGACGTAGTGCAGGATGTACTGATGGCTCTGGATCTCAGTTATGACCACACAGCTCCTCTCTTTATATCTGTACTGCACACGCTCATTAAGGCACTGGGTAAGGATACATAACATAATCTGACCTATTACACATGTCTGGAGGAAGTGCCTCCATGAACACTTTGCCATGCCGGTTATGTTGGTGTTTTTATTCCCTTTAGCCAGGTGGTTTCCTCCATCACACCATAGGACCACTAAGTCGCCCAGTTTCAGGGCTTCTGCTGAACAGGAAGATTTCGACATTTGCCAGTTCCTGCTGGATTACCGCAAGCAGAAGGAGTTAGCAGAGGGAGTTGGGATTGAAGTGGATGAGGATGAAGACCTCGGTAATAATTGGAGATTGTCTCACTGTCTGTGCAGTTATGGGATTTATTGGAGCTGGGCGATATGCAACAAAATAATACCTCCACATTTTTGACACTAGATGGTGATATATATAGTATTTATCTAATTTATCTTAAAAAAAATAAATAATTTTGTTCTAACTTAGAAATATTCTCCAGCCCTAGTATTTATGTTTTCCAGATTAGGTTAGAGGTTTAACTCTAATCAAGTTATAAAAGCAGGACTGAAGCAGGCAGCTAACTACACCGTGTGTCTCCAGAGGTCCCTCCTCCTGCAGAATGTGACGATGCTGAGGATCCCGGTGGTCCTGATGTGAAAGCAGAACTTCCATCACACCTCAGCATCACTAAAGAGGTCATGGAGCGCTGCATTCACCTGCTGTCCGACCCGAGCCTCAGGCTTCGACTTAAGGTGATGTTTTGACAGTGAGGAAATCATTTATAAATAAATATTGCATATATAATCAAATAGAGGATTTATTACATTTTATAACATGATTATGACATTAATGGGGCATTTATAATATGACTTTTGTTCTTGATATACTGTAGGAATTGATACGTGAGAATTATTTATTTTGATTATTCATTATTTTGAGTTGTTATATAACTTAAAACTTCTGATGTGTGAGGTCAGCATTTTTATTGGGGAAGCGTTAAATAATTCATCCTGTTACTTTTTATTTGGTGTTTTTGATAATATGATTTTTTGATGGACAATTTATTTTTCACAATTTTCTGAATCTTAACTAATTATCACTAGAAATATATTCAAGTGTATTTATTTAGAAAATTTCAGGGAGCTGACTAAGTACTAATAGTGCTTCTTAAGAGTTCTGGTCCTTCAACAACTATTTAGAAAATTATTTGATGAAAATGTGTATTTTTAATGAATTTTAATATTGGGGTCTTTATTCACTCATACTTAAGTCGGGTTTTCTCATTTTTTTCTAAAATAACAAATATGTTAGGGGACATGAGGAATGCTTATTGTTGTTGACATATTGCTGATCAACAGATAATATTTTAGTTATGATTTCATAAACTGTGTTTTTACTCATTTTTTTAATATATACTAAACACCATTGAAAGTAAATTGAGCATTTTTTGTGGAAAAATGTCAAAAAGACAGGTACTTATCTTAACAATAGTGTTCTGAAAATATTAGGGGAATTTTATGATTAATTAGGGATTATTAATACATTTCTATATTCAGTTCTTTATTTGGTTCTGCTCTTTAAAGAAGTTTTTTTTTTTTTTTTTTACAATAATGCATTTAGGGACAAGTTAAAATCTTTACACCATTGCAGACATGGTAGTGGTTAATGGAGAATATTTGCTCATATTTATATTAGGGTTGTCACAATACTAAACTTTTCAACTCGATACGATACTAAGGAAAATATTCGATACTCGATACCATTTTCGATACCACAAGGATAAAAACAAAGACTCCAAAATTCTACAGAAATATTTTCATTAATAAATAAAATACAATAAATAAACACAATAAAGGTTGTATGCTGTGCACAATATTAAGCAAGCTTGATAAAAAACTTACAAAATTAAAATTGAGTGTTCCTTCCTTGGCTATGCTTTACACACATAACAATGACACTAGCCAAACCGGTTAAGAAACAGAAATAATTCTCAGCAGCTGCACCTCTTTCAAAAAAAAGTCTGAAACTGAAAATTGCACAGAATTATTCAATCACACAGTGTTCTGAAAGTGTATTGTCCTCTATTCTGCACTTTAGATGAATGACTGCTTAGGTGCCACTGGTGGTGGCACTGTATCAATACTTTTAAAAATGAGTATTGTATCCGGATACAACGTTTCAGTGTCGATACTTTTTTGAATATCAATACTTTTGACAACCCTCATTTATATAAACTATGTATACTAACAACGTGACATGTAACAATCTTTTTGTGGTTAAAAAAAACAAAAGCCAGTTTTGGTGTTCTTTCAAACAGTCATAGTATTTCATGATGTTCAAACATTTTTTGGGGGGAATTTTATTATTAAATGTGGATTTTTAAGGGCAGAGGTCATGGATTAGCGAAGCACGATCCGGATTCGGACAAACCTGCTGGCTAATTTGGACCCAACCTGATTTAAAGCATTTATAAATTACTGCATGTTGTCTGATGAGAGTGTCTAATTTCACTTGCGCCGCTTCTCCTGTTAACATGGTAAAGCCCTCTGGTTGTTGATGTTCTTTATTGGGACCCCGTTGATATTTAATTGGTTACCACTGTATTAGAGGATAAAATGAAGTCTTCATATCATAATTCACATTATAGGGGTTCCTTAAAAAGATGTAGATGATGATGATGATGGCTGTAGACATCAAGGATCTCCGACATGATCTGTTTGTTGTACAGTTGAAGACAAAACTATTTAATTGAATATTTTTTTCAGACACTATATTAGTGACCAATCACCCGACTGCACAATGCAAAGAGGCCTTTCTTTGAGTTCACATAGATGTTTTTATCTGTGGGTTTCGCTCCGTTCCAAATTGAAGCCATTCTAATCAATGCAGTGATTCCCACTGAGTCTGTTTTTGTGTCCAAGTCTCGTCCTCCATAGCCGTTTTCCCCTCCACAGCATCTTTAGTATAACTGAATCAGATAAATGATTCACACAAAGTTTCTGTTGAACTGACTGACTGATTGCTGATGAAATAATTCAGCAGTTTGATGCAAAGGAGCAAGGATCCATATAAAAGTTGTAGCTGTTGAGGACTGTGCTCATGTCCTCTGATTTAAAATCAACCCTCAGCCACACTTCCCCCTAAGAGGGCTCATTTTTCCATCCTGTCAATGTTTCTGCTAATGCTCTGTCCTTCCAGTCTTACTTTTTATAGAGTTGTTGATAGTTCATCAGCACAAGCAAATAAACATTTTAAGTGCCACACACAGGCATTTATAGCCCCTTAACTCCTCTACTTGTTTTGCATAAAATCCTGCTTTACTCTGATTGGCCTAAAAAGAAGTCCTATGTAACCAACTTTCTTAAAAAGCTTAATCTTATAAGAAGATAGAGTTCATGAATGCAATTTCATAAATCCAGCTTTTTTGGGAGATCCTCAGAGGTAAGAAAACATTAGTGACCAATGAAAGCACAAAGGTCTGGACACGGCTAAAAAAAATACTAAGACAGAATAATGAAACCTCTGCCTGAGGCAATAGATGTAGATGGGTAATACTGATAGGAACATAACCTAAAAGTTTTACAACTTTTATGTCAGCAAGGAATGATTCTAAAAAGTATTTACTAAAAGATAAAAGAAAAAATGCATGATGCATCTTGGTTTTGCTTAATTTTGATAACCATGTATTGGTGTCCTTAATACATGTAAAAACCTTAATGAAACACTTTCTGATTTTGTAAAGTGACAATATGTGTAAAAGTTCAAGGTGTATGAATACTTTTGTGTTGCGCTTCACAACCTGCGTGATCATAGATTTTTAATTGTTTGCCATGTTCTGTTTAAAGGTGCTGGATGTGCTGGAGCAGTGCGTGTTTGTGCTGAGTGAGAAGGAGGACGAGCTGCTGCCCATGGCTCATCGCTGCTGGCCGGCCCTGCTTCAGAGACTCACTGATGACCCATTAGCAGTGCTCAGAGCCTTCAGGGTTGGTTCACCCAACTTTTCTTTGTTCTAACACATGGCTATCTGATAATCATTTTAAATATTAGCACAAAATATTGTCCAGGATTCTTTTCTGTTTATTTATATAGCGCCAATTCACAACACATGCCATCTCACGTCACTTTACAATCAGGTCATCCAGTCAGATTGGTAAAAAATAAAGTTTTCCATCTAAGGAAAACCAGCTGATTGCATTGAGTCGGTAGGGCATTTACCAAAAGGTTGAGTAGTTTAGTTAATTAGGCTGAGTCACCTCACATTTGTACAACTTAAAAGTTGACCCCTCCCCTGGCAGTTTTGGGTTTGCATGGCGGTGTGTAAAGCTATTCTCTTATTAGCTTATTCTATGGACTTAGTAGAGTACACACTAGAGATTAGGGGTGGAACGGTTCACAAAATCCACGGTTCGGTTCGGTTCATGGTTTCGTGGTCACGGTTTTCGGTTCGGTTTGGTATATGTTGATTGTTACACCAAAATCCCATAAAAATTAATGAAAAAAATTCAAAAAAATGTATGAATTGTAATTATTTTTAATGATCCGCGGAAACCGTCGGTTATTTCCACATGTTTTACTGCTCTCAATTTAATCATCTCGCGCATGCCCTCTATGATCTACAAGGAACTCACAGTGGAGGCTGTAGGCTTTACTTTTTGCAGGCGGTCTGGAGCGCAGTGGGGCGGGGGTTGCTGACGGAGTATGAGGGATTTCGGGGTTAGCCTGACATGTTGGTCATGTTGCTGTTAGCATAAACAAAAGGTGTTGCACAATGCTCGCACACTGTTGCACTTTTATCCACAACTTTCTTTCCACCGTCATCGTAGGTCACTCTAGATGCAAAGTGGTCCCATACAGCAGACCTATAAAGTGCTGCTGGCGCGTCTTCCAACTCCTGTTCTTTCTCACTCGCCATACCCACACAATTCTCCACAACAACTGATTTTTTTCTGCTACACCCGGCTAAGCTGCTTCGCTTCTTCTTCTTCTTGTTTACTACTGGTGGTTGGCTTTGGTCGTAGTACCGCCACCTTCTGCTCTGGAGTGTACATGCTTCACCTATGAGAAAAAGGAGCAGCGCATGAACCGAACGCAACACACGCGAATCGAACCGAGACAGTCGAACCGAACGGTTCGGACGGTTTTCATAAACCGTTCCATCCCTACTAGAGATGGTAATAAAAGCTGGATTACAGCTACCTGATATAAACAAGACCGTCACTGCAGCAAGATGTATTGTACAGAGGGAAGAGGTGGCCTAGTGGTCAGGGCATAGAGCTTGGAATCCTGAGGTTCTGAGTTTGAGCCCAACTCCCACAGACTGCTACTCTTGCTCTCTGAGCAAAGACCCGTAACCCCCAAACTGCTCCTCCAGCACCCCACGATGGCAGCCCACTGCTCCCCGAGGGGATGAGTTAAATGCAGAGGTAAATTTCTCCAATGTGAACTCAATAAAGTTCAATTATTATTATTATTATTAAATTTCTGCCACAAACCGCACCGCATCAGCCTTTTACTGTCAAATAGTCATCATGAAAAAATCAAAACTCGTTAATGCCCTAGCACGTAGAGGCAGTAGATATTCGCTTGCATTGTGTTGTTGACTGCAGCAATCCCTCACACTGAGCAGAATCAGGCTCAGTGTGAGCAGCCTTTGGTCAAGGCCGACTGGGGCTCAAGGAGAAACAGTCATAGTAAAATAACATAGAAGCATTGATCCATAAGAAATTTCTATGTTGGGTAACTGGGTAAAATGTAACTACATTCAAAGGTTTACATGGTAACACCCCAGCTTATTTTTCCCTCCAGGATGGTCCCACAACCGAAAAGGACCAGACTAAATGAAGCTACTATGATGCAAAAAGCAGAAAAAACATTAATTTAAGGGTTGAACTAATAGATACTGCATGTTTATGAATGACGAAAAGTGGTCCCTTTGTCCTCCAGCAGCCTAAGCCTTTAGAAGCTGAACTATAGAGCTGGATCAAGACACAAGAGAAAGCATACAGAGAAAATCCAAAGTTCAACTTTACAAAGCTTCCAAAGCTTGACGAGGATTGTGGAAAAAGGATCCATTATCAGCCAGAATTTCTTGGAAAGCCTTAAAATGAGTTTTTAAAATATGTATTCAAGCAAAACAGAGAACATATTTTTAGTGGCCTCACCTATGTTGTCATAGCTTTTTCAAGCCTTGAATATGTAGTATCTAAAGAGATTTGCACTTGTTGAACCCTTTGAATTTCTCAACTGTTCCATGTTAGGTGCTTTGTACACTGGGAGAAACCTGCGGTGACTTCCTGAGGAGGAGGGTTTCTAAAGAGGTCCTCCCCAAGCTGAGCTCCTCATTGACACGGCAGGCTCCCATTAGCGCCAAGGCCGGGCCCGTCTACACCCACACCCTGGCCTACAAACTGCAGCTGGCTGTGCTGCAGGGGCTGGGCTCATTGTGTCAGAGACTGGATCTAGGTAAGCAACCAAAAAACACCTGCAAAGGTTTGATGGGACACAACAGAACAGTACTGTTTGTTTGAAACTAATGTATAATAGAGGATCTCTTTAGGCCCGAGTTATTTATTGGTGTATTTTTAAAGAAATGTTCAAATAGTTGGGATGAACACTAATGTGTTCAATTTATATTTTAAATTGGAAAGCTAGATAATTATAAAGAAATATAAGAAAACCAGTTTATTTTAAACCTATTATCAAATATTTGTTTACGTTTGGCTCAGACTAGTTTAGAGTTTCAGCAGATTTGGTATTTTATAGGTATTTTGAAACCATGTGGTTCTATTCCTCTACCATTAGATGGCAGTGTAATATAACAGTATAAATGTAGCAGAGCTTCTTTGTGTGTTTACTGGTGTATGAAGCTAAGATTTTAGAATTTACCTCCTTTGAAATTTAACCCAGAGGCGCAAACCTTGTTCTGTTAATGTAACCAGGATTACTGGTGTTGTGAAGAAGGTGATGCTTTCCATCAGTCAGCATCTCCTCAGATTTTTTGACTGGTATGCTGTTGTATTTAAAAAAAAAAGTAATTATAAATTCAATTTGCTCTCATGCATAAACCATAATTGAAAATCATCAGTGAAAATGCCTAGAGGCTGTGGCAGCACTTGGGTTCAGCATATTTTAAAGATGACTGAAGATTCAAAGCACAGCCAGCTGAGCCAACAGGATGCCACTGAGTCCTCAGCTGCGCACTCAGTAACCTCTGCAAAAGACCCGTCCCTTCTAGAGCTCCATTATACAACCATAAACAAAGCAACGCTGTTAAAGGGAAAATCAGCAAACAAGGACCCTAAAGATAGTAAACCTGTTCCCCTTATCGCTGTAGTTAAGTCTTAAGTTTTTGTCCAAAAAAATCATCCTATACTTTTCATTTGTTTTGGGTTTCTTTTTTTTTCTTTTTTATCATTTGTACCATTAACAGGATTTTAGGGTCCAAATTAACTTGAAATCAAAGAGAAAAGGAAGTTATGTTAGCTAATAAATGTATAATACTGGCCCATTTCCATCCACTGGCTATACCTGCTTCTCCATTTTAGGGTTGCAGAGGGTCATTGTTGGTGGAGTTACACCCTGGATGGATTCCCAGAACATTAATGGGATGCACACTATAGGACCAGAATTATTTGGTCATGCATTCAAATAATAGAAATCAGTTGTTTCAATCACTTTAAGGCTGATAGGTGTATAAATGCAAGTGCTTGAGCAGGCAGAGCATTTTAACAAACATTTGGGATGAAATAGAGCAGAGACTGAGAGCCGGGTTTTCTCATCCTACATCATCTGTGACCCAACAGATGTGGTTCTACAAGAATGGTGAAAAATACCCTTAAACATGCTCCTTGTCAACAGCCAGAAGAGCTTAAGCTGTTTAGGCTTCAAAGGATGGACCAGCATCATATGAGACCCTATAGATATGATTAATATGTGAGTTAAGGTAGATGAGTGACTTCTGGCAACAACATGTATAACCATCTACACACACACCCAAGGAAAGTTAAGAGAGTCCAATGAACCTGGAAGTTTGTTTGAACTAGATCTGGGGCATAGCACCTCTGCTTCTTTCTATATAGAGTTTGGACATTCTTGCAGGCATGGATTTTCAGCCAGACATGTTTAATAGCTTTAGAGTTGGATTAAAACTGTAATCCTTCACAGAAGTATAAAACTTTGAACTTTTACTCATATTGTTTTAGTTAAAACATTTGTTGGTGTAATTTGCTCAGGATGTGACATCATTACTTTCCAGAATTTAAGTTTTTATCAATTGTTAATGGTTTCGCCAAAAATTTTAATTGCAGTTTTTTAACCATTCTAAGGGTTTTTTAAGTTATTATTACTAACTAAAAGCATGGAGATATTTTACTCCACAGTTTTATTACTTTTGTGAGTAATAAAGCTTGCTTGCCATAAGTCTATGGAGCTAAATTGGAGCCATAAAATGTGTTCAAAACATGTTTTTATTAAAATAAATAAGTAAAAATGACTTCCTTCTATGATCATTCATGGGTCAGCACACTGGCCGCTAGTCTCTCTTCTCCCTTCTTCGTGGAGTTAAACCCACTTAATCACCTAAAAAAACTGTGTTTTGTTAAAATGTGTTTATATTGCAATTCATTTCCTTGTCCTGATTTTGTTATAATTTCTTAGAAAGGGGAATTTCGGGTTCTCTCTATCCTGGAGAGAAATATCAGCTGTGCTGCTGCCATCCACACCTTTGTTTATATATGTGTGAGATTGGCCTGTTTTTCATTATAGTCTTGTTTCTCTGACTGTGACTGACTGGATGTGCTCTCTTCATCCTTTGACGTGGGAGCTGGCTCGTAGCTCGTCTGCCTGGCTGTGTGTTTCTATGACAGGACCACCTTTTACAGTTGCCTTATGTATCTCTGCTTCAGTCTCCTTGAACCCCAGTTGGCCTCGGCAGATGGCCGCTCACACTGAGCCTGGTTCTGCTGGAGGTTTTTTCCTGTTAAAAGGGAGTTTTTCCTCTCCACTTTCACTAAAAGCATGCGCAGTGTGAGGGTTTGACTTTGAGTCAACGAGTTGATGCAATCAACTGGTTTTCATTAGATCGATAACTTTGATGTCACTTGAGATGAGTTGTGTTGTGAATCGGTGCTATATAAATGAAATGAACTGAATTGAATTGATCAATGTTAATTTTGCCATGAAGCTTACTGGTTTGCCTGTAGGCCAAAATGTTCAAATGGTCTCAGAGGACCGGAAAAATGTCTGCTTTACTGTGTCCTAAAATAATTTTTGGAAACAAACCTAGACAATTTTGTAATTATTTTGATACTTTTAATACCTGATATGACCTTAAATGCATGACTGATGGTTGTTCTTTCAGCAGGAGCTCTGCTTCTGAATGCTGCTTTATAACCAAGTCCTACTTTAAGTGTTATTTGGTTTCCATGATTTCTGTTCTTCACTAAAGTCCCCTTAGAAACTTTTCAGGTCTTCACAGAAGAGCTGTAACACAGCTAGTAGTAACACACAAAGTAAAACCATGTAATGTTTTACTTCTATGTTATAATTATGCAGCACTTTGTTGTCACCATCACATGAAATCTAACCTACCTTAAAGTATGTAGTTGTACATTTTACAAATATGGATTTTTTTTTTTTTTTTACGAGAAATGTAAAACCTTTTCATGCCTTTATAGATTTTATAGTCGGGTTTGAAGTCTTTGCTCAAGGAAAATAGAGGTTTAAAGTCAAGTTGTGGATTTTTTTTCAGCCTGTTCCCCTTTGCAGTGTGGAGGGGAAACGTAGCATTAGGAATGTCACACCCTCAGTTTGAACCTCATCTCTGACAGATGAGGAGTTAGTAGCACCTGACAGCATGACACAAAGATGACAGGACTGTCTGGTTAGCCGCCATTTGGTTTGAAAGTGATGAAAGCCCCTTTGGTTATGAAATGTTATATTATTCTAGTAATTTTTTTAGTAATAAATGTCGATGTAATATCTCATTTAGAGTAAGATTTATGCCTCTTTCCAATATCTTTTCCTTTCAACTGAACTTTAAACTATTCTTGACATTCAGCCTATAAAGGTTTAGATAGCTTGCAGTTTTTAACTTGGGTGTGAAACAGGACTCGTTTGCTATTGTTGGACCAAATATGTTCATGTACAGGTACAGCTAAACAAATAGGATATTGCACAAAAGTGTCGGGCTGAAACAATTAATTAGATTAATCCCGACTAGGGGTGTAAATCACATCCATCATGGCGATTCGATTCAGTATCTATTTCCTGACCCAACGATTCGATTATTTTCGATACTCGAGAATACACCACGATTCGATTCGATTAGTCGGTTAATTTTTTTATTTTTTATTTTTTTACGCCTTACAGGCTAAACAAAGTTTCAAGTTTGAAATAAATCAATGAAAGCTGTAATATCGTTATGCACTTTTTTTAGAAACACCAAATAACAGAAGTAGAAAAGTTGCATAAAAAAATACCGCAAAAATACAGCAGAAAATCAGTGCAATGAGTTCAATTTAATACCTCGGCTCCAGACGTCCCCGCCCCCTCCACAGACGCTCCGCTGCACCTCTCCCAAATTGTAGCTGACCGCAGACAGTGCCGCAGACAGGAGGCCGGCTTGTTTTGTTTTTATGACCGAAATTGTGGAAAACAACTCGTAAAGTTTGACCCGCTAGAAGAGCGAGGTGCGCGAAAATGCTGGGACCTTTTTTCCACCTGGATTTCCGCTCTTTTTGGCACTCATGTCCCTCCGTCGCCGGACTAAACTCGCCCCCACTTCCTCACCGCCTCGGCCTTATCTAGACACACAGCGTGTAGCTCAGACCACGCTTCAATATTGAGCATAATTTAAAAATATCTGTGTCAAGCTCACTGCAACACACTGCTGTAACAGTATAACCAGGAAGCGAGGTAGGAGCGCAAAATAGGTTTAGCGCCACCGCTTCATGGGAGGGAGAATTAGCGAGCACCCAGGAGCAAATGGATAAAAATAGACCGGAGGAAAAAAAAAAACATGAATCGATTCTCTTGCGGACGTATCGATGCATCGGATCGTCGGCTGTCGATGCATCGATACAAAACGATTATTATTTACACCCCTAATCCCGACTAATCGATTATATAAATAATCATCAACTTATTTAGGAATTGATTAATCGTTTAATGGAGTATAGAGACTCTAAAACATGCCTTTAGGTGACAGAGCGACCCACTTAGAACAGGAATTATTGCAATATTGAAACATTTTGCATTTATGATTAAAAAAATATTTTTCATCTTTCAGTATGCTCTTACCAGAACTCCACTTGTTAAAACGTTTTAGTTTCACCTGGTTTAATTTGTTAAAAGTCTTCTTTAAGGAACCTTTAGCTATCAGATTATTAATAAATAAAAATAAAAAAAATCAACAGATTACTGATTATCGATTTGTAAAGTAATTGTTAGTTGTGGCCCTAAACGTGGCATTTTTTGCTAGTCATCTCAAAAGGTAAAACTTGGATAGAAACACATCAAATTATATTTTCCAGGCCATTATTTCATATTATGTTGATGATTGTGGTTCACCAGGTGATTAAAAACTTCAATGAGAGAAGAAAATAATTTCCTGAGCCTTTAAAATGTTTCTAGCTCCGGGTCAGTAGGCTACATGGTCATCGGGAAAACAACTTAAGACTTAAGGCTTGAAAAAGTGCAATCCTGGCAACGGGACCTGAAGTTTTTTCTTTATTTTAAAAAGACGTTTTGCCTCTCATCCAATTGAAGAAGGCTCTTTGATGAGAGGTGAAATGACTTATATAAAACTGTCAAGTTGCCTCGACTGAACTTTTTCAATCTGCACCATGAGCTGGATGACTGAGAATCTTCACAGACTTCACAGATATGAGGAAGATGGCCGTCAACACCCTTTACAAGGAGTGTGAGCCAATAAAGGTAATTGCCGAAGAAGCTGATTTACTGTAAAATAACCATTTCTGAAAGTGAAGAAATATTTCACTTCCACACCATATTCTATTTTCTCTTTTAAAGTACTTGTATATGAGTCACTGTCCATCCTTGATCAGTCATCCAAGCCATCCATTAGTTTGTCCTTCAGCTCTGTTCAGCATCCCTCCCTTGTCTCCGTCTTCCTGTCTGTTTTTAATATGTTCTTCATTTAAAACCAGACTTGTGTAGAATTATCTATAATAAATGAACTAATACCTGCATCTTTGACTCTGGAGTTTAGATTTTATAAAACATTGAATTGTTATTGAATTCTGGTTGCAAACTTTGTTGACAGTGTTTTGAACATATTTTCCAAAGTGCGGTTTACAGTATTAGGGAGTTAAGTTGTTCATGAAAACCAGCATTGCTGACTGACGAGTTTCAAATTAAATCTTGAACACTGACTGACTGAAATTGGACTGTTCTTCATAAAAATTCTGTAGGAAATCCAATACGGCTGCCTTGGGTATCAATATATTAGTACACTGATGGCTTGTATACACTAAAATTTTCATAAATACAAAGCCTGATTTATTATTAGTGTTGCACCGATACTAGTATCTGGCGGGGCCCCGATCCAGCACTAAAATGGTGGTATCGGTATCGGCGAGTACCAACAAATAGGGCACCGATAGCATTTTGAGAGCCAAAAGTTTATTCAACTATTGTCACCCATTCCAGATAGTTCTACTGGATTCACTTTGTATTAGTCTTTTTCCTGATTCACAAAGGTAAGCAGCAGCTTGACAAAGCCATGATGGCAATTATTTTACATCCAAGTAGTATACAGTTCTTTATATATACACACACACATCAATTTCAAACAGATGGTATCGGTATCGTCCAATACTGCACAGCCAGGTATCGGATATCAGTATCAGGGCCAAGTAATGGCATTGGCGCAACACTAAATATATCATTGCCTTCCGTCAGCAATATATCTTAAATGCAATACTTCAGATTGCCGAGCTCAAAAACTACAAGTTTAGCTTATTTTTTTTTAGGTAAATTACCAGGTCCATGTTTCAATTGCCAAGCTTAATAAAAAGTCGCATTGTGTTAAAAGCCTAACAGTGAATAAAGCCTTCACCCCTTGCATACCCATTGGAGAGAATTGTAAACCTTATTAAACTGGAACCATGTAAACATCTGTCTTATCAGCCTGAAGAAAGAAAAGGCCATGCTTCCTGTTCTTGGCTTTTCTGCCTAGAACTTAATTCCATTCTCCTCTCTGTCAGAAAAGAAGAGATTTGGTGTTGGAGATGAAGAGAATGTGAAGGAGCAGAAGAGAAACAGTGAGCGGCTGCAGCCACACTCTTGTGAATACCGATTTGGCTACTGCTCACCTCTGGGACACTTGCAGCAAGCCAATTACCAAGCCTTAGTCACAGTGAGAGAAAGGCAGAAACACCGACTGACTGAAGCCAATGATACGTTCCAACCCCAGCGCTACTTTCAGATGCATTGCCTCACAATCTAACAGAGGCTAGCCTTTAGGTTTCTGGTGTTGCTCACCTCTTAGCTGCCCTGCAGAAACCTTGATTCCATAAAAGACTACAGGCTATGAGTGCAAAAGCAGAAAGGGAAAGAAGAAAGGGGATAAAAGCGGTTGCTAAATAATCCCATTTAACTCTGAAATGTGCTCTGGTGCTTTTATTGTCGACTCACAGAAAGCAGGCCTGTGCCAGCCGAGTGTGGGCTGAATCAGTAAATAGAGTAAGCAGAGAAGGAGACAGACATGTTTTGAAATAAGGCTTGAAAGGCAGCCCAGTTTGCAGCTTAGGGAATTGCTAAATGTCTGCTGGGAAAGATGGAAAAAGAGAGAGATAGAGACTGAGAGACGTGGGGGGAAAGGGGAGATGAAAGAATGAAGAGAAGTCAAGTGGAGAGAGGGAGGGAGCAGAGCTGGCAGTGTTATGACAAATACAGCATAAGGAGAGACAAGGAAACAGATGCAGGTGTATCCGAGTACATCAGAGTGGGAAAGTAGAAGAAACAAAGATGGAGGAAAGGAAAGGGAAAAGTCTTTTTTTCTTAAAAGTGGCAGCGTGAAATCTAGCCTGAGGGAAGAGTTTTCCTCAGCCACTGCTGCAGTTTTACAGTAGGCAAAGGTAGAGTCCTAACTTGAAATGCTTTGTATCTTTCTTTTTATCCTTCTGCCCTTTTTTTAAAACAACAATTAAATAATCCAAGAACTGAAATAGCTTAATCTGAGCCATGGTAATACTTAAGGGGTTTCAGAGATTTGTATGTGTGTCCATGTTGATAGAAAATGTCTTTGTTTTTTAGCTGAGGCAGACCTTGATGCTGTCTGTGAAGCCTGTCTGCCCTACCTGAGCTGCAGGCAGCCCATCAAACTGCAAGAAGCTTGTCTAAGGTAAGACTTCCTCGCTTTCTGTAAAAAGATTTTCTTTTCTTACTCTGGGACATTTTGATGCATAACCAACATAAAATTTGAGGGGTTTTTTTAGAGCAAGGAGTATCTCTTCAATATCTCAAAGGTCCCAATAATACCTAAACTATAGCCCCTATTCCACGCTAAGCTCACATAGAGATATTTCAGATGCAGAGTATGAGCCAAAAGGAGAAGAAGGAGGTGGGAAGACATATTATCTGCCAACGATCATAATGAGCTGAATGAGTAAATAAACTAATACGGCCCCTGCACGAGAATCTGGAATGCATTATATACGTTTAACAGAGACCTGGCTGCATCATCTTATCACAAACTCCAACATCGCTCTGTTGTGCTTTCTGACCATACAAGTAGTCTGAGATATAAGAAAAATGGGTGAAAGCATAGAGGAAGGCTAGGCAGTGCTAAAGCAAGAACTCCTCTCTGCAAACCAGATATACAGGTGCTGGTCATAAAATTAGAATATCATGAAAAAGTAGATTGATTTCAGTAATTCCATTTAAAAAGTGAAACTTGTATATTATATTCATACATTACATACAAACTCATATATTTCAGATGTTTATTTTGTTTAATTTTGATGATTACAAATGACAACAAATGAAAATCTCAAATTCATCATATCAGAAAATTAGAATATTGTGAAAAGGTTCAAAATTGATGGCCCCTGGTGCCACACTCTAATCAGCTAATTAACTCAAACCACCTGCAAAAGCCTTTAAATGGTCTTTCAGTCTAGTTCTATAGGCTACACAATCATGGGGAAGACTGCTGACTTGACAGTTGTCCAAAAGACGACCATCGACACCTTGCACAAGGAGGGCAAGACACAAAAGGTCATCGCTAAAGAGGCTGGCTGTTCACAGAGCTCAGTGTCCAAGCACATTAATAGAGAGGCGAAGGGAAGGAAAAGATGTGGTCGAAAAAAGTGTACAAGCAAGAGAGATAACCGCACCCTGGAGAGGATTGTGAAACAAAACCCATTCAAAAATGTGGGGGAGATTCACAAAGAGTGGACTGCAGCTGGAGTGAGTGCTTCAAGAACCACCACACACAGACGTATGAAAGACATGGGTTTCTGCTGTCGCATTCCTTGTGTCAAGCCACTCTTGAACCACAGACAGCGTCAGAAGCGTCTTGCCTGGGCTAAAGAGAAACAGGACTGGACTGCTGGTGAGTGGTCCAAAGTCATGTTCTCTGATGAAAGTAAATTTTGCATTTCCTTTGGAAATCAAGGTCCCAGAGTCTGGAGGAAAAGAAGAGAGGCACTTCATCCACGTTGCTTGAAGTCCAGTGTAAAGTTTCCACAGTCAGTGATGGTTTGGGGTGCCATGTCATCTGCTGGTGTTGGTCCATTGTGTTTTCTGAGGTCCAGGGTCAACGCAGCCACATACCAGGAAGTTTTAGAGCACTTCATGCTTCCTGCAGCTGACCAACTTTTTGGAGATGCAGATTTCATTTTCCAACAGGACTTGGCACCTGCACACAGTGCCAAAGCTACCAGTACCTGGTTGAAGGACCATGGTATCCCTGTTCTTAATTGGCCAGCAAACTCTCCTGACCTTAACCCCATAGAAAATCTATGGGGTATTGTGAAGAAGAAGATGCAATACACCAGACCCAACAATTCAGAAGAGCTAAAAGCCACTATTAGAGCAACCTGGGCTATCATAACACCTGAGCAGTGCCACAGACTGATCGACTCCATGCCACGCCGCATTGCTGCAGTAATACAGGCCAAAGGAGGCCCAACTAAATACTGAGTGCTGTACATGCTCATACTTTTCATGTTCATACTTTTCAGTTGGCCAACATTTCTATAAATCCTTTGTTTTTATTGGTCTTCAGTAATATTCTAATTTTCTGATATGATGAATTTGGGATTTTCATTTGTTGTCATTTGTAATCATCAAAATTAAACAAAATAAACATCTGAAATATATGAGTTTGTATGTAATGTATGAATATAATATACAAGTTTCACTTTTTAAATGGAATTACTGAAATCAATCTACTTTTTCATGATATTCTAATTTTATGACCAGCACCTGTATTATTTTATTTATTTGGTATTTAAACTCCTTGTTATAAGGTAACCTGTAATGAGAACTATGATAAGAAAGGGAACAAAATACCATCTAATATAATATAAATGAAATTTACATAGCTTAGGCTTTATCATTTAAATTGATATGTCCAATTCAAAAATGTTTAACTTTTAAGTTAAATACTTTATTTAAACAAGCAAAATACTCTGAAAACTTTTTCCCCCAAGATTTTTTGATGCTTTGATGGGTTTTTGTTTGTTCAGTTTTTTCAGTCCCACAATTTGAGTCATCGTCTTTGAAACGCAGCAAAGATCAAATAAAACACTTAACTTTTGTTTAACCAATATAGACATGTTAGACATCATTAGAAAGCTTAGATTCTCCACAATTCAACCACCAAGTTCATTTTATGGACACAGCGAGCACCAAAGCACAATTAACACAGATATAGCAGCATTGTAAAACAAAGGAGCTGCGACAACATACTGTACCTTTGAAGATGTCCAGAAGTCTTATTATAAATCCAGTCTTCAGTCATCTTGTTTATACTCCATTTGGTCCACAGATTAAAAATAATACAGCGTATAAGTAAAAACATTCCATGATGAAAAAATCACCACATAAAGTCAGGTTTTTTTTACCATCAGAAAAGTTTGATTCTTAAAACTAATGCTTACCGTCTTGCTATTTACCCTATTTTCCCCAAACAAATCCACACAGTGTTGGGTATGTTTGTTTTCCTCTCCTTCCAGCCAACGGCGTCCCATTTTGGGATTTGACCCCAGGACAGCCCTAGAAGTGTCAAAGTCATTCTCTCGGCTGCCGTTTTAACGATTACTCCCCTCATATTATTCCTCATAAAGTCCGGCTGCTGTTGGTTATGACCAGATTCAATGTTTGGCTCTCTAGCCAATGATATGACCATGAAAACAGGGCTAAACATGGCTAATTTGAATAGTGCAGCCAAGATATATAGGCGGGTATAAAGGCACAGAGGCAGATCCGATCCTGGACCATTGCACACTGTTAGATAATTAGTTTGAAAAATGAAATAATATTTCCTTCAAAAATGTTTTGTGACAGTCAAAATGCTTCAGTGTGATTTTTGGGATAAAATTGTTGTATAAAAGCAATAAGCACAATTGGTAATAATTTGGCATATTTGGAGAGGTTTGGAGATGCTGATGACTGCGGAAGTTAAAAGTCCCATATCTCTAGAACTGTTGTTGATATAATGCAGAATAAATGCAAAACCATGAAACATGCCTATTCTCAAGCATGTCTTTGTTACTGCTATTCAAAAAAGACCTGTTATTTCCGAGAAGAAAAACCCCAACTTTGAATCATTATTGAACTGATGCAGTTTAGTTCTGTCACGTGGTTTTTATATTTTCAGAAACTAGAAGGTTATAGCTTTCAAATGATGCATCACACATGTAATTTGGGCTTACAGTTATTTTTTTTCCCATTTGGGTATGCAGAAAAGCGAGGATTATTTAAAATTAGGTGGACATTTAATTATCTGAATAATGTTTTGTCTTTACCAATCTCAGGCTAAAGGGACAGCATTTTGCGACTTTTGCATCCCATCATCATCACTATTGAATCATTCACATATTTTTTATTTTGAAACATTCCCACTACAAAGCTGTTTATAAGCTGTAAAAATAAATGTAAAATGTATGAAAACATTTTTTTTTTTCCTTCACAGCGTTTTTCGACACTTAATCCAGGTGGATCCAGATACCTTTTGGTTAACGTTAAATGAGATCCACTGCCCTTCTTCCTACACCCCGCCGCACCCTGATCTCCAGCCTCTGCAGCTGAGCGGGATGGGCAAGCCAAGAGATGAGTACTCAGACAACGTACTGAAGCTGCTGAGGGAAGAGTTTGGCTCAGACTCAGACAGATAACCAGCTAATCCAGTATAAAGCTATTTATTGTGCAAACATATTTATGTATTGTACATACATTTGAAGTCAGAGAAAAATGCCTAACTGCAGCTGCTGATTATTTTTTGTCTTTCATAAATGTGAAATAAACGTCACGCTCCTTCAGAGTTTTAAATAATTCACAAAGGATGTTCTATCTCACCTTAACCTTAGGCATTGGCTCCAATTGATTCAAACCATACATTCACACAGCTTTAAATGTAAAGAATGAGTGCTTTTCTCTATCAATACCAGGCACAATGTTTATTTTTAGGCCAGGTATAAAAATGTATGTCCTGCAAGACACAATGTAAAGCTCATGCTTTAATATGTTTCCTCTACTTAGTCCAACAGAAGCAAATCAAATAAACATACCTGTGCTAACAAATACTGCTTTAAGGGCTCGTTATACTTGTCGCACATACAATCCACATGAAAAACTTGCAATTCTTGTTTGCTGCATTAATACTCTGTCCTCAGGATTCTATACCCTAATGATGACTAAGGCTGTACCCATTTGTACCTTTGTAAAATGTATATATAAATCCCTTTATTGTCCCACAATGGAGAAATTCGTTCTTTGGCGGCTGCCATCTAAAATGTTCTTGCTCATGTGGTCCTTTCATTAGTCCTTTATAGCCCCATTTAAACTACCCTATGAAAACCAATTTGTGCCGAGCTTGGTTCCTTATTACCATTTACACCACAAGCTAGCATGTTTCTTCGCCTCTGAGTGGCGATCTATGGTACTACTGCTCTCCAGAGGTAAACGGGCAAATCAGCATGGCGGCACCCATAACATTCAGAAAGATATGTTTTTTTTTATCATTGTGATATTTCTTTGAGAAGAGTCAGGCTAAGAAGGCAGCCTTTGGTGAATTTACTTGCCAAGAGTCGGCCTTTGGGAAGTGGATACGACAAAAGATAGTCTAATCCGGCTTACAGACGCAGGAAACAACGGACTTTGAGGCTCATCACACTGCTAAGCACAATCATCACTGGAAATCGTGTGGGGCGGTAGGGAAGCTAGTATTTTTATGAATGTCTTAAGTTTTTGGTTGATTAAGGAAACTGACTGTAAACTATTAGCGCGGTTCGGTTGTGTCTGGCGCGGTCTGGTTCAGTTGTGCGTGCCACTTACACTCAACAGTTATCTCGGTTACAGTGCTTGGACCGATCTCGACATGGTTTCAAAAAGATAGTGTAAATAGGGCTTATGTCATAAACTTTCAACCTAATCTCCAGTGATTTGTCTTTGTCTGGATGAAGGACAGGAAATGCAGGGCTATTTTTGGCATAAGCAACAAAACCCCTTTGTCACTATATGAATCTATCTATATGATATAATCAATCTATAATCTATAATCTATCACTATATGATATAATCTATCTATCTAATCCTGTGTAAATTCTCAGTCATCTGGATCGTGCCAACCACAAATCAGGAGCCAACTGGACTTTCTCTCAGTTCTGAGAACGTTTTGACACCTATCCTTTAGCCTTTGTCAGTTGTCATCTAGAACTTTGGTGCCAAAGCCTATTCTGTGGTTTCAATGTTTAAAGGTCTCACTTCTTAGCGGTTAACATGTAATACGGCATCTGCCCAACACCTTTGTAACGTCTGTTGTTTATAATAGCAGCATATGCTCATAACCCATTTGGCAGTTTAATTAACAAACATCTTGCCGTTCCAAACACAGTTCCCCAGGTTCTCTTAGCTGTCCCATTTTGATTGGGACAGCTCAAAGTTCAGCAAATGGGGGCTAAATTTTCAGTGACTTAAACTCTTAAATGGAAACTCTATTCCATAACCTAATCTTTTACATTCGATATTTCCTTGATGTGGAAAATTATCAATGAACACTGCTGTCTTTTAATGCAGTTTTGCTCTATAAAACATAAAGTATACCTTAAACTATCTTAATTTTTGAAATTGTTTTGTCATTTTTAAAAGCAGAAATTAATGGTATTTTTCTCTGACTCAAGTTCAATTATAGTACATGAATATGTTTGTATCAGAGGTAACCAATAAAGGAGCTGCTAATTGTTGAGAAGGATTCAGTCTATTACAGCACTGCCTGCAAATAATAAACTGGAAAATGAGTCTGATACCTTTTCTGAATGTCTGTGTTTAACGTCATGGTGTCCAAACCAGGAGCAAAACTGGTCCCTCTTTAACTCACAGGGATAACGCTCCATTTCCATCTGTCCTTCTGGACAGGTGCATGTTGTAAATACAAATTTGATTTTCATGTTGTTTCTTTATTGTTAAAAGAAGTGACTGAACCACCCTGCTTGGTTTAAATAAAGCATTATTTGACAACATTACTGTGGTCAGTGTCTTTGTTTGTGTAAAATCCATTAACGTGTTTATTTTTAAGCTGGCTTTTAAGTAAAATATTCAGTGAATTATTCCAGTTGGTAATGCTTCATTGGGCACTTCTCTCCCTAAAAGGCTGAGGATTTATCATTGAAATTTTGACATAAGGTTTTATTTTGGATCCCAGCTCAAGGTCTATATTTATCTAATATTAACATATTCCCCAAATACCATGATCCAATTTAATTTAGTTTATTTATATTAATTGATTCACAACACATCTCAAGGCACTTTACAGATTACCAGATCATACAGTCAAATTGATTCAAAGTTTTCTATCTAAGGAAAACCAGTTGATTGCATTGACCCATTGACTCAAATGCAATCCCTCACACTAGGCATACTTGTAGCGACAGTGGAGAGGAAAAAATCCCTTTTAACAGGAAGAAACCTCCAGCAGAACCAGGCTCAGTGTGAGCGGCCATCTGCCGAGGCCGACTGGGGTTCAAGGAGACACAAGCAGAGATACTAAAAGCAGCTGTAAAATGCGGCCCCATCCAGGAAATAAACAGCCAGGCACACGAACTCCGAGCCAGCTCCCATGTCAGAGGATGAAAGAGAGCACATCCAGTCAGTCACAACCAGAGAAACAGGACTTCACTGAAAAACAGGCCGATCACCATCATCTATAAACAAAGGTGTCCATGGCAGCAGCACAGCTGATGTTTCTATCCAGTATGGTGTCACAGCCAAACAGGAGCCGATGAGGTGAAGCTATACTATATCTATATAGCTACTAGTCTATTTCTTGTAAAATAAGTACCAACTATGGCAAGTAAAGTCTTCTACAATCCATCAATGTTTGAGGGGTATTTTGGTAAGTTAAGATATCAAACTGTTAATCTATATCAGTAATGAAATAAAATCATTTATATTGATAAGTAAATCAAGAGTTTGTTCATGATTTGACTTTTACCTTCACTTTAACACAGTGTCTCAAAGAACTTTTGCAGATAAAAGAAATTGTTCTTCCACTGTCACCCTCCAGGCTTACAGTATAGCCTCGATTTTATTTAAACCAACTCTAAGTAACTTAACTTTTGTGAATATACATGGACGTATAACTAGTTGACACCTCTGTCATGGACCAAGACTGTCTGTATCCCTTTCACTGAGACTATGCAACTTTGAGGAGGGAGGCAGTAACCCTGCCACACAGATTAACTGCAAATGTGCAGACTGGTTAACTGCATACGTCACTTCCCCCTTTCTTGTTATTAAGAAAGGATTCAATGAGACAAAATTTCTCTGAGAGACTATATTTGTGCAGCTCCTTCCTGCTGGGATCTATACGTTTGTTTACTGTGAAATTATCAAACATAACTATATCGGTTTCAAAGCTTTAAGCTTGTCAGCACATCAGTCGCTGAGAAGTCATTACCTCATTGCTATTCCTCTTTCACAGCCACTAGAAACAGAAATGTAGTTCAATCCAACTACAGGCGATCAGGATTTTCCCTCTTTCTTGTCCTCATGGGAAATGCTGTCTTCCTTCAGGCAGAACAATGCAGCTTTTGTCCCTGGGGAGGCCAAAATTGACCAAAACTGAAAGTTTTTCCTGTTAAAAGAGAGTTTTCCCTCTTCATTTTTGCTGCATGCATGCTGGATGTGAAGGATTTCTGTAGTCAATGACTTGATGTAATCTATTAGGTTTCATTAGAGCAGGAACCTATGGCTCAGGAGCCGCAAGTGGCTCTTTAGACACTCAACAAAGGCTCTTCATCACATTGGTTGATTACTTGAATGATAGATATACAAAAAAAAATGATTTAGCATTTCCCTTACCGTCTAATTGTATTCAATTTCAAAAAACAGAAATATATTATTTTTAATCTTTTTTAAGTGGAAAAACTTTTTTCAACATGGTTTCTAAAAAATATCAGCAGCCATTGAAAAATGCATTTGTTCTTATTTAGCAAGTTTTTTCCCTTAATTTTAAAACCTAAAATTTTAAATGATACAATGGTTGTTTCAAAATGACAAATCTTCTCACGGTTCAAATTTCTGAAATATAAGTTATCTTTTTCTTGTTGTAAAGAAGAAAATCATACAATATTTTGTGGCTCTAAACAAGTTTTATTAGCTGGACAAAAGTCCAAACTGGCTCTTTGGATTGTAAATGTTGTAAATGTTACAGACCCCTGCATTACAGAGAAAATGTTGAATTAAACTAACTCTGTAAACTACATTTAGACAAAACATGTTTTAAATTGGGGCTGGAAAAATAAACTGAATTGAATAATGGGCACCGTGTAGCTCAGACATTACAACGATCACAAATAGTACATATTACACTACATATTACAGTTGGTCTGAGCTTAATTCTGATAATTAAGGTCAAACTGGGAGATTCTTTACTAAAACTATTCATAAAACATGTCTTAGTGCTTAAGTTATTCAGTTGGTAAACTTAAATATTCACAGCCTCCTGCATCACCAAGAGCACACAGATCAGAGGTCACCAACCTTTTTTAAGGCTGCAGGCTACTTCATGGTCACTGAGTCATTGGAAGAGTTACCAACACTGACCTGTGAGCTGGAAAGGTCGGTGTTAATCTATACTTCATGCATAATAAACATATCTTTATTGTTTCTTTTAACTTCAAATTATCTTTTAAAAATTGCCATTTTGAAATCTCTATAAATGCTTTAATGCTAGATTAGAGGACCGAGGTCTGGTTCCGGACCCAACCTGATTTAAAGCATTTATAAATTACCGCATGTTGTCAGACGACGGTGTCTAACTTCAGTTGCGCTGCTTCTCCTGATAATATGGTAAAGCCCTCCAGAGCTTCCAGGACCAGGCTATACGTGATACAATTTAGCCAATGAGCTGCTGTCAGTCTGGGCTGCTGCTGCTGCTACTTTTAGACACAGCAGGCTGAAATATTGGCCATAAAAAGAGAGCAGAGAAAGTGTGGACTGCTGGAAGAACAGCGGTGAACTGGTGAAAGAAAAGTGAAATAGTGCTTAAAGATGACCCTGCACATTTAGGGCCGGATTTATCAAGATCCAATTTTGCGTGCAGTAATTTGCGCTCGCAAACTGGAATTTTGCACGAGGGGCTGGACCATGGTTTGCGGGTGATTTAACAAGAGCGATTGGGTAACTGGTGGCAGGTGCAAAACTGTTGGAGACGCCCTATTTAAATGATGGTTTTGCGCGTTTTGTGGTTTGCGGCAAAGTAGTTTGTAGTTTCTACAAACTAGTGCATTAAGAAATTTAAATCTTACAGTGATATATAAAGAAAAACCTTTGGCAACCTTTAATCCTTAAGGTGGTATGTGGCTGAATTTCTACTTCACTGCAGTAAAAAAAAACAAAAAAACAACAACAACAAAAAAACAGGTGTTTTGTATTGGCCTGTAGAAAAATGCACATACCAAATTGCCCACAAGAAGTGACTGTGGATGAGATTACGCATCCCCACAACATTGGCATGTTGCTCCACAGGCGCAGGGGGAGAACTCCGACCCCGTCGGACAGCACTTCTGAAAAACGAGATTGGGAGATCCCAGCTCTCGCTGCAACCGTACGCTGGAATGACCCAGACGCAAAAAAGAGCAATGTTGCAAGGAGTTTTGTGATATCTGGTATTGCGTGG